TTTTATGACCCGCACGATCATGTAACAATTTTTACTCAATTTTTAAATTTAAACATTTTTACTCAATTTTTATATTTAATCATGGAACTATTATATAAGCAATATTGTGACCTTGTTATTTTTATTTTTCAATTGTAATTTTTATAAATTATTATAAAGATGACCTAACAAAGGTGGAAACGTTTGTATGTTAAATGTTAGGATTTAAAATATAGATTAATTATTAGCAATTAACAACTAGTCTCGACTTGTAATCTTTCTTCTTTAACAATTTATGATTTAAAGTTTTGGACATTTTTAAAAGTCAACTAATTAAATGAAAAATAATCAGGAAAATAAACAGAAATATAGGCAAAATAAGAATTCTGTTAACATATATCTAGAATTATAAGTAATCTAATGTACCTCTTGTTGAGGACCAGAAATTCTGCTTGATAGAAGAAATAATATTATAATTGAAATCATAGCGCATACAGTCCGTTTGTAGAGCAATGTTTTCTTCATTAAACTAAGCACATTAATAATTGCTTCACTAAAGAAGTAATGTAAAGTTGTAATTGGATGTTGCCAGAGTGTTAAATGATCTGAATCCAAATTTGAAATACTATGTGGATGGCTTGAATTGTGTTCCATCGCTGAAGTGGATATTCTTTTTCCAACGCTTCTTTGAGCTCCATTAGTGGAAGCTTGATCTTTTGGACGTTGAATGGCAGTAGAATTACTCAGCATGGTATTTTCTAAATGGTTAATCTGTGAACAAAGAATGTAATGTATTATTAACAAAGAATGTAACGCGGGCGCATGCATATTAATAACAACTTATTTAATGATAGGTTATCTTTCAAACATTAGTATTTTTGTATGTAATTTAAAAAATTATATGCATCTCATAAGTTCCTATATAATCACATAAATAAAATAATATAATAGAAAATAAAGCTCTTTTATTCTTTATGATAGAAAACATTTTATAATTTACTCCAATTATGTTAGTATCAGCTTCAACATTTATAATTGTATATGTAGAATTGCGTTGTTTAAATTCACAAATCTTGTCCATTATATAACTTTAAGGAGTTATTCAGTGTAAGCACAACAATATGAAATTCTAATATTATTGTAATAAATGTAGAGAGTATCATATATAATAAAAAGAATTATAAGAGAACTTGACATCATCAGTAAAAAATATAGCACATGAGTTACTATAGATCAAAGGTCAAATAGTTATCCAATGTAAACATAAATTGCTTTCTAGAATTACTGTACCTTTTGGTTATAAAGGACAAGAAAATTTATTGTTGTTACTAATAAATATTTTAGTTAATAACTGTCTCAAGAAGTTTATTCTACAATTAAAAGAAGAGAAACTTATATAAACTTAGAAAATTATATAAATAAAATCTTATAACATCATGCAATCGCTGTTTTACATTCTATATGACAAATTGTAATGTCATTTAAATACTTACTACATATTCCTTAGTTAATACTTACTCTGCAAGATAAAAATTGTGATTGTCAACTTTCATTAATGTTCACACAAAACAAAAATTAGAGAATCTAAACTAAAATGCAAATAATTCTCCTAAGTATTATATCTGTAAGGTTATGTACTCTTATTGTAAATTCAATACATATAAATGAAATTTATTTTAAATTACGAGAAGTTAAAGCATTAAAATAAAAAAAAGCTTAAATTTTTTTCTACTATTCTTACAATATGCAAGTATATGTCGTAGAATGTTTAATACAAATAAGATAAACAATGATATTGAGCTACCAACAAATTTTAAATTTTATAATGATAAACAATTAATTGGCCAATCATTCATAGTTTTGTTATACATTTTATATTGGTCAATATCACATTACACTTCATACTTGCAATTATCACGCTTAATTATACTTAACCATATTGTTTATCCATTGTACATTAAAGACTCTAATTATCGTAACAATTGCCCCGAAAATTGTAGACTCATGATAAAAGCTCGCTAAACTATGTAATATTCCGATTGAATTTCAACATATTGTAATCGAGAAAGAATAACATTTCATAAATTTCATACGAGAACATATTGAATATATTTTACAATTCCAATCCTCGAAATTTTAATTATCTTTCATGATCGATTTTCTTTATAGTATAACTATATAAAGCAATAAAATTATTTCGCGTAAATGAATTACCTTTTCAATTTTAAGATCTTATTTACGATATATGTACATTCAGGAGATCACAGTACGATGACTTTTTTTTCCTATATCATCGTGAGGAGTGAAAGGGAATATTAATTTTAATACAAGTCTTGTGAGGTTTCCCAACCTTTGCACCGTTTATCACGATTAATTACTGTCAAATCACTTATGACGTGACCACTCACACATATGTACATATGTATACAGCGTGTGTACATATACATATGTATATACAATATCTTTGAAATATATATACGTTACACGTATAATAAATATGTCAGAGACGTATCACCACGCGACGTAAATATCACATGAGCGCAATGAAGCGCAACGAGCAATTCAGGAAACGAGGAGAAGGGGATTTCTCCTTCACTTCTCCACCTTCAATATAAATATCCGTCCTTTTTCATTATTTTCCCTCCTTGCCCCTCCTTTCTCCTTTTTTATTCAATCTCTTTTATGTCAAAGAGATACGTAAAAAGTTCCTTCGACTATCCTGTTACAGACTTATTAAAATTCTACATATGGCATTTGTCTGAAAATTATCACTTTTAATCTTGCAATTCGTCGAATAAAATCTCGAGGTTTTTGGAAATTTTTTCGAAATATTTTTGGAGATATTCTTAAGTTCTCACGTGGAGCATTTGAAGAACTATGAGATCTATGAGTACAGAAGCATCTCATTTGACCACGTAGCGATTGATCACACCATTCAGAGCGACTGAGGCTTAAAATTTTTCTACTGAATCAACCAATCAGGAGATTAAATTACGAATTGGCTAATTGGCGACGTGGACAATAGAATATCACTCACATGCGAGATGGTAATTATTAGAAAGGTATGGGCTGGGGGTCGATTCTATATTGTAAACGATTGATGACAACAGAGAAAAATATCAGGGCGCTTCTCATTTCGATCCTGGCCTGGGATCGATTCTAGAGGTCGATTCTGTATCTTCAATAAAGGATACTGTGAATGCGATGCTACAAATGCTTTAAATTTTTTATTGGTAAATTTGTAAAATTCTTTTTTCTAATTGGTCAACCAAATGCTTCAAAGCATTTGTAATGAGACTTTAACCGCAGCCAAGGTGAACATTACATTAAAAGTGAACAAATTTACTAGATGTTGACCAATGAAATTATTAGTATTCTAGTAAATTCGCTCACTTTTGTAATTTTCACCTCGTTTCAAGATACAGAATTGATTCCCTGTATTTTCAAATAAGGTGAAAATTACAAAAGTGAGCAAATTTATTAGGTATTGACCAATGAAATCAGTATTCTAATAAATTCGCTCTCTTTTGTAATTTTCATCTCGTTTTAAAATATAGAATCGATTCCCTGATGTCTAAAAATAAACATCGCTTACTAAAGTCCTTAGAAAATACATTTTTCCATTGAAAAATATAAATTCTTCTTTATAAATAGTGTATATTGGTAGAGCGTGTAACGTCAAGCAATAGTGAAGTATTTTCTAACCCAAGTTAATACAAATTCGGTCGAGTCGAAAACGCTAAAAAAAAATACTTAGGGCCGATTTCATTACCGCCGATCAAGCTTAATTGTGATTAACTGTTAACCGCAATTGATCAATTCTAACAGCAAATACTGAGATTGGTCAGTCAACAGCTAATTAAAGCTGTGTTCCAAACTTTGACTGCCAGCACTAAAAATCTATAGCTGCGTTCAACAATGGATTCAAGTTGAGTGAGCGCTCGTTACTATTAATATATTCTTTCTAAAATGCTGTTTGGATGAGTCTAAATTTATTGTAAAAGAATACACTAATAACAGCAAGCGCTCACTCAACTATTGAGTTCGCTAAACGTAGTCCATAGTACAGGGTTGGCCATATTCGACGGAAAGACCTTGAACCCTATTAAATGATTTTTAAAATGAACAGCAAAAAATGTGTTTTTTTCCCATGATTGAAAAAAAAACATCTTTCCGTCGAATATGGCCAACCCTGTACATGTAACGTAAACTGTAGCATTTTCAGTGCTGACAGTAAATTTGAAACAAAGCCTAAGTTAACTGGCGTTAGTAAGACTGGCCCTTAAGGGCTGCTTCGACTAATGGTTCCTGCACACAGAACGCAGCAACGCTTGCCACGCGGCGGAAGTTATCGCACTAACCAATAATTCTATGTTCTTAAGTCGGCCTCACCATACAAAACTTCTAGAAATGATGTAATATGACGAATTTCAGTCATTGCGCAGAATGTGACAAAAATGTGTCCGAAAAATGAGCATACCTTTAGGGATTTTTTAATAAAAGGAACAAGGAACAGAGAACAGAGAATAAGAATTTCAATATATCAGAAACTGTGTATTTCACAATACATGATTTCTGATAGGTTAAAATTCTTATATATTATTTTTTCATACATTATTATTTAATTACAATTTTCATATTTAATCAATTATTTTTAATTTATTACTTATTACTGTTTAATATTATTATTATTATTAATGTGAATATTATCTTTATATAATGAGTTTGTTAACATTATATTGTTATACAATTCTGATTTAAAAATATACTTGCTATAAACAATTTTCATGACACGACTGAATTATGTCTTTTTTTTTTTAGAAAAATCATTCTATAGCTTTATAAAAACTCAAATTTATAAGCGCCTTTCCAACCCACAACATGGCGGCGAATCATGTGACCTAGGATCCATTACATCAAAGGTGCCAACGGTCAATGTCCACACTGTATGTACAAATATATTGTACTTATACTGTGCTTCCATCATGAGTTTACTCTCTCTTTTATATTTTAAACACAGTCATAAGAAATCGAAGCCATTTCTTGCGAAAAAAGGAGTCGATGTAAAGTGATCAATTGCGTGATGATTTTACGTGGTTTGTCGTCATGCAAGAATTGATAAACTAACATTGTGAAAAACTGTAAGTGCAATTTGTTTATTATTCTAAACTGCCACTATTTATATGCATATATATATATACTTTCGCGCCATCAGACATATTTCAAGTTCCGGGAATAGAAATTCTACTTGAAATAATTGATTTGTGACAGCACTGTATTTTAGAATTGAGGATTTAATCTGAAATTACCATTTATATACAGAAAAAAATCAATTTATATCAGGGAAAATTGATCGAATGTTATCCTGTTTTAATTCAGAAACACTCGCAATCATGTCTATTCCACCGTATTTGTTGAACCCAAATCCATGGGCCACAATGATGGCCCAGCAACAAGCCCAGATAGCAGCCCAAGTACATGCTCAGGCTGCTGCGGCTCATGCTCAAGCTGCTCATCACGCTCACATGCAGGCTATAGCTGGACCACCGTTACCTCAGATGCCTAAACAACCAGAAGTCTTATCTGAGGATAAACTTCAAGAAAAAGGTAACGTTTATTATCAACTATTTTTTTTATATTACATTTTTTGCAATGGTAATCTTATTTGCTCTAGCACAAAAATGGCAGCAATTACAATCAAAGCGATTTGCGGAGAAGAGAAAGTTTGGCTTTGTAGATGCTCAGAAAGAAGATATGCCAGCTGAGCATATAAGAAAGATTATTAGAGATCATGGTGATATGAGCAGTAGAAAGTATCGTCATGATAAGCGTGTTTACTTAGGGTAAGATATATTATAGAAAATATATTGTATGTAGAGTCCTATACTATAAAAGAAGCACAAATAATATTTGCTTGCTGATTGATGAGCAGTCGCCAAGCAAAACTGGAAATATTGGAGCTGCAGCTGATTGTAACAAAGCAGCTGTATTTATTAGGGATCCTATCAGATTCTGAAGTTTAGGTTCTCCTAGAGAAAGATGTCAAAAGTTTTGTTTCTGATGAAATTTGATTAAACATATCAGAAACATTCTTATTCTAATTCTAATATTACAAACAATATTAAATAGGAGATTATCAAAGTTACAAGATTTGTTTGCATAGAGGATCAAACAAAGGATCAACTGCAGGCCCTTCTCTCAATATTCTCGATTTTGATTTGTAGTCGCTATCACAAGCGAAATCCATTTGCACTTCTCTTATGATATAAGACTCTAGCTGTGTGTAATCAGACTTTCTATAAACATTTCTGTGTATTTATTATGTAACATTTGTATTACAGAGCATTAAAATACATGCCACATGCCGTTATGAAACTACTAGAAAATATGCCTATGCCATGGGAACAAATAAGGGATGTAAAGGTCTTATATCATATTACTGGAGCCATTACTTTCGTCAATGAAATTCCTTGGGTTATAGAACCTGTATACATAGCTCAATGGGGGTAAGACATGAACATTTTTGTCATTGTACTTAATACTATAAAATATTTATATTAAAAAGGTTTCAATTTTTTTCAGCACTATGTGGATTATGATGAGACGAGAAAAAAGAGATCGTAGACATTTTAAGAGAATGAGATTCCCACCTTTTGATGATGAAGAGCCTCCTTTAGATTATGCAGATAACGTTCTGGACGTTGAACCATTAGAAGCTATACAAATTGAACTTGATTCAGAGGAAGACGAATCTGTGGCATCATGGTTTTACGAACACAAGCCTTTGGTTGGGACAAAGTAAGTTGGAGTTTACATACATAAAAAATTACAAGAAAAAGATTGTCGCACATTGAGAAAGATAACATTTTATTCTTATATTTGTTTTAATCTTTATATTTGATTCTTATTTGTTTGCTCTTTAATGATGAAAAGCGTAGGGGTCCTGAAATCAACTGGACATGTGAGTTGACAACCGGGTGCTGTGTATCATTAAGATTCATGATATACAGACTATCCAGTTGGAGAAAATGCTATTCTGAAAAGACATACTTACGTCCTAAGAATAAGATTTTGTATTCTATACATAATATAGAATCTGAATGATAAAATATATTACAGACATGTTAATGGATCTACATATCGGAGATGGAACCTGGCGTTACCGCAAATGGCCACTCTGTACCGTTTGGCTAATCAATTGTTAACCGACTTGGTAGATCAAAATTTTTTTTATCTATTTGACCCCAAATCATTCTTCACTGCAAAAGCCCTAAACATGGCTATCCCTGGAGGACCGAAATTTGAACCATTGGTGAAAGATTCAAATGCTGCTGATGAAGATTGGAATGAATTTAATGACATAAATAAGATCATTATCAGGCAGCCTATCAGAACTGAATACAGGATCGCGTTTCCTTATTTGTATAATAACATGCCTCATTTCGTGCATCTTTCATGGTGAGTTATAGTAGTATAAATTTTCTTAAATTTCTTTTATGTATAAATATTATTCAGGCTTAAGAAAACTTTTTTTTATGTTTTTTTTGGATTTTTTTGTTTTTTTTTATGTGTTCCACACTAGTTTTGAGATCTTCGTGTTAGTGTATAAAGATCTTACTAGCAGTGTGGTAAAGGAAGTCTAGTGATTGTTATTCGTCTCTTTTATGAAAATTATAAAAAGGAACTGCTGACATCACTTACAAGCTTACATAATTTTTTCAAATAAAAATAATTGTGTGTGTGTGTGTGTGTGTGTGTGTGCTTATAGATGATGTTATGCACTTCTTAATAATCAATATATAATTTACAGGTATCATGCACCAAATGTTGTGTACATAAAGACCGAAGATCCAGATTTGCCTGCATTCTATTTCGATCCCTTAATCAATCCAATTTCTCACAGAAATTCACTAAAGGTAAAGTTTTAACTTTCAAATTAAATAAGTTATATTAATTAATTTATACATTTGATTAATTCATTGCAGACAATGGAACCACAAATTGAAGACGATGAAGACTTTGTTTTACCTGGTGAGGTACAACCATTTCTTCAGGAGACACCACTTTATACCGATAACACAGCAAATGGAATAGCACTTCTGTGGGCGCCAAGACCATTTAACACACGTTCTGGTAGAACAAGAAGAGCTATTGACATTCCATTAGTCAAGTCATGGTACAGAGAACATTGTCCACCTGGACAACCTGTAAAAGTGCGAGTCAGTTATCAAAAACTATTAAAATACTTTGTGCTGAATGCTCTAAAGCACAGGCCACCGAAACCGCAGAAAAAACGCTATTTATTCCGTTCGTTTAAGTCTACCAAGTTCTTCCAGACAACGACGATAGACTGGGTGGAAGCCGGTCTGCAGGTATGTCGTCAAGGATATAACATGTTGAATCTATTGATACACCGAAAGAACCTTAACTATCTTCACTTGGATTACAATTTCAATCTGAAACCTGTCAAGACGCTCACGACGAAAGAGAGAAAAAAATCACGTTTCGGTAACGCTTTTCATCTGTGTCGTGAAATCCTTCGTCTGACTAAGCTTATTATCGATTCTCACGTTCAGTATCGATTAAACAATGTGGATGCCTTTCAACTTGCTGATGGGTTACAATATATCTTTGCACATGTTGGTCAATTGACTGGCATGTATCGATACAAATACAAATTAATGCGACAGATTAGGATGTGCAAGGATTTGAAACATCTAATCTATTATCGTTTCAATACCGGACCAGTCGGTAAAGGGCCTGGTTGTGGATTCTGGGCACCTGGCTGGCGTGTCTGGTTGTTCTTCATGAGAGGTATCACTCCATTATTGGAAAGATGGCTGGGTAATTTACTGTCAAGACAATTTGAAGGTCGCCATTCGAAGGGTGTAGCGAAGACAGTGACGAAGCAGCGAGTTGAGTCGCACTTTGATCTTGAATTACGAGCATCTGTAATGCATGACATAGTAGATATGATGCCTGAGGGAATAAAACAGAACAAAGCACGGACTATACTTCAACATCTAAGTGAGGCCTGGCGTTGTTGGAAGGCAAATATTCCATGGAAAGTGCCAGGTTTGCCAATTCCAATCGAGAACATGATATTGCGTTACGTAAAAATGAAAGCCGATTGGTGGACGAATACGGCTCATTACAATCGAGAGAGAATTCGACGCGGTGCTACGGTGGATAAAACCGTATGCAAGAAGAATCTTGGTCGTTTGACGCGCCTCTATTTGAAAGCTGAGCAAGAACGACAGCATAATTACTTGAAAGATGGTCCGTACATATCTCCGGAAGAAGCTGTAGCAATCTTTACTACTTCAGTGCATTGGCTGGAGTCTCGAAGATTCGCTCCGATTCCTTTCCCGCCGTTATCGTACAAACACGACACAAAGCTGCTGATATTGGCTTTGGAACGCTTGAAAGAAGCGTATAGTGTTAAATCTAGATTAAATCAAAGTCAACGAGAAGAATTAGGATTGATAGAGCAAGCGTATGACAACCCACATGAGGCACTATCTAGAATTAAGAGACATTTGCTTACGCAAAGAGCCTTCAAGGAAGTCGGCATTGAATTCATGGATCTTTATAGTCATTTGATTCCTGTGTATGATGTAGAGCCGCTCGAAAAGATCACAGACGCTTACCTCGATCAATATCTGTGGTATGAGGCGGACAAAAGACGACTATTCCCTCCCTGGGTGAAACCAGCCGACACGGAACCTCCACCACTTCTTGTTTACAAGTGGTGCCAAGGTATCAACAATCTTCAGGATGTGTGGGATGTCAGTGAGGGTGAGTGCAATGTGTTGCTCGAATCGAAGTTTGAGAAGCTGTACGAAAAGATCGATCTCACGCTGCTTAACAGACTGTTGCGTCTAATAGTCGATCATAATATTGCCGATTACATGACGGCGAAGAATAACGTAGTCATCAATTACAAGGATATGAATCACACTAACAGTTACGGTATTATCAGGGGACTGCAATTTGCATCTTTTATCGCTCAATACTATGGACTGGTATTAGATCTACTCGTGTTAGGTCTCCAACGAGCTAGCGAGATGGCCGGCCCGCCGCAAATGCCAAACGACTTCTTGACGTTTCAGGATGTCGCCTCTGAAACGGCGCATCCTATTCGATTGTACTGTCGTTACGTCGACAGAATACATCTGTTCCTGCGCTTCTCTGCCGATGAAGCGAGAGATCTTATTCAGCGTTATCTTACTGAGCATCCTGATCCGAACAATGAGAACATTGTTGGCTACAACAATAAGAAATGTTGGCCGCGAGACGCTCGTATGAGACTGATGAAGCATGACGTGAACCTAGGTCGTGCCGTTTTCTGGGACATTAAAAATCGACTACCACGTTCCACCACTACTATTCAGTGGGAGAATAGCTTTGTCAGCGTTTATAGCAAAGATAATCCGAATCTATTGTTCAACATGAGTGGCTTTGAATGCAGGATTCTGCCCAAATGTAGAACAACTCACGAGGAATTTACACATCGGGATGGTGTCTGGAATCTCCAGAACGAAATCACAAAAGAGAGAACAGCGCAATGCTTCCTGCGTGTTGATGATGAGAGCTTGCAGCGTTTCCATAATCGTGTCAGACAAATCTTGATGGCCTCGGGTTCAACCACTTTCACGAAGATCGTAAATAAGTGGAATACTGCATTAATCGGTTTAATGACTTATTTCAGAGAGGCAGTGGTGAACACACAAGAGTTATTGGATCTGCTAGTCAAGTGTGAAAATAAGATTCAGACACGTATTAAAATCGGACTGAATTCCAAAATGCCATCGCGTTTTCCACCTGTCGTCTTTTACACGCCCAAAGAATTGGGAGGTCTGGGAATGTTATCGATGGGTCATGTGTTAATACCGCAGTCAGACTTGAGATGGTCGAAGCAAACCGACGTGGGCATCACTCACTTCCGTTCGGGTATGAGTCATGATGAAGATCAACTGATTCCCAACTTGTATCGTTACATACAGCCGTGGGAATCAGAATTTATTGATTCTCAACGCGTTTGGGCAGAGTACGCCTTGAAACGGCAAGAGGCCAACGCTCAGAATCGCAGACTCACTCTGGAAGATCTCGAGGATAGCTGGGATCGCGGTATTCCCAGAATAAATACGCTATTTCAGAAAGACCGACACACGCTGGCCTATGACAAGGGCTGGCGCATTCGCACCGAATTCAAACAATATCAGGTGTTGAAACAGAATCCGTTTTGGTGGACTCATCAACGTCATGACGGCAAACTATGGAATTTGAACAACTACCGAACTGACATGATTCAAGCGCTCGGCGGTGTCGAGGGCATCCTGGAACATACTCTCTTTAAGGGAACCTACTTCCCGACATGGGAGGGTCTGTTTTGGGAGAAAGCATCTGGTTTCGAAGAATCCATGAAATACAAGAAATTGACAAATGCTCAACGTTCCGGTCTCAACCAAATTCCCAATCGTCGATTCACTCTATGGTGGTCACCCACCATTAATCGCGCCAACGTTTACGTCGGTTTCCAAGTGCAGCTCGATCTGACGGGGATATTCATGCACGGAAAAATACCAACCTTAAAAATCTCGTTGATTCAGATATTCCGCGCTCACTTGTGGCAAAAGGTACACGAATCCATTGTAATGGATCTTTGCCAGGTGTTCGATCAAGAGTTGGATGCACTAGAAATTGAAACTGTGCAGAAGGAGACGATACATCCGCGAAAGTCTTACAAAATGAACTCCTCATGTGCCGATATTCTATTATTCTCCGCCTATAAGTGGAATGTGTCTCGACCATCTCTTCTCGCTGATTCCAAAGATGTGATGGATAACACGACCACGCAAAAATATTGGATCGATGTTCAATTGAGATGGGGTGACTATGACTCACATGACATCGAGCGATATGCTCGTGCGAAATTCCTTGATTACACTACGGACAACATGTCCATTTATCCATCACCCACTGGTCTTCTCATAGCCATCGATTTGGCATACAACTTGCATAGCGCTTACGGCAATTGGTTCCCTGGTTGCAAACCACTTATACAGCAAGCCATGGCAAAGATCATGAAAGCAAATCCAGCCTTGTATGTGTTACGTGAACGTATTCGCAAGGCGTTGCAGTTATATTCATCCGAACCGACGGAGCCTTACCTCTCCTCGCAAAACTATGGCGAGCTCTTCTCCAATCAGATCATATGGTTCGTTGACGACACGAACGTGTATCGCGTGACTATCCACAAAACTTTTGAAGGCAATTTAACGACAAAACCGATAAATGGTGCAATCTTCATCTTCAATCCACGCACGGGACAACTCTTTTTGAAAATTATTCATACCTCCGTCTGGGCGGGCCAAAAGCGTCTGGGTCAATTGGCCAAATGGAAGACCGCTGAAGAAGTTGCTGCGCTGATTCGTTCTCTACCAGTAGAGGAACAACCGAAGCAGATTATCGTCACCAGAAAGGGAATGTTAGATCCACTGGAAGTTCACTTGCTGGATTTCCCCAACATTGTCATCAAAGGATCCGAGTTACAATTACCATTCCAGGCATGTCTCAAAGTCGAGAAATTTGGTGATTTGATTTTAAAAGCGACCGAGCCACAAATGGTACTATTCAATCTTTATGATGACTGGTTGAAGACAATCTCATCTTATACTGCGTTCTCACGATTGATTCTGATCTTACGCGCTCTGCATGTTAACACTGAGAGAACCAAAGTCGTCCTCAAACCCGACAAGACTACCATCACTGAGCCACATCATATATGGCCATCACTGACGGACGACGAATGGATTAAAGTAGAAGTACAACTAAAGGATCTGATTCTAGCGGATTATGGCAAGAAGAACAATGTCAATGTTGCATCGCTCACGCAATCCGAGATTCGCGACATCATTTTGGGTATGGAAATAAGTGCTCCATCTGCGCAACGGCAACAAATTGCCGAGATTGAAAAGCAGACTAAGGAACAGAGCCAATTGACCGCTACCACCACGCGAACAGTAAACAAACATGGTGATGAAATTATTACTGCGACGACGTCCAACTATGAGACGCAAACTTTCAGCTCTAAGACTGAATGGCGAGTACGTGCTATCTCTGCAACCAATCTCCATCTCAGAACAAATCACATCTATGTTTCATCCGATGATATCAAAGAAACCGGTTATACTTACATCTTACCTAAGAATGTATTAAAGAAATTTGTTACCATTTCCGATTTACGAGCGCAGATAGCTGGCTATTTATATGGCATCAGTCCACCTGACAATCCTCAGGTAATTATTAAATCATTTCATCTATATTTGAAATATTTTTTGATATATATATATATAACAATTTTTTCTTTTTATTTTATACATTATAATACATTTAATATTTAAAAACTTTTTATTTTATATATTAAAATTTAAATCAATTTTAGCTGTAATATACTAATCTCATATTTCATGTGTGACAGGTAAAAGAAATCAGATGTATTGTAATGGCACCGCAATGGGGAACTCATCAGACCGTTCATTTACCAAATACGCTACCTAACCATCAATATTTAAAAGAGATGGAGCCGCTAGGATGGATACACACACAGCCAAACGAGCTGCCACAACTCTCGCCGCAGGACATATCCACTCACGCCCGGATTATGGCGGAGAATTCTATTTGGGACGGCGAGAAGACCATAGTTATCACTTGCAGTTTCACACCTGGTTCTTGCTCTCTCACAGCATACAAACTAACTCCAAGTGGTTTCGAATGGGGCAAGCAAAATACTGATAAGGGCAACAATCCGAAGGGTTATCTACCTAGCCATTACGAAAAGGTACAGATGCTTCTGTCCGATCGTTTCCTTGGCTTCTTTATGGTGCCCAGTCAAGGCTCGTGGAATTACAATTTCATGGGCGTGAGACACGATCCCAACATGAAATACGAGTTACAACTGGCGAATCCAAAGGAATTTTATCACGAGGTGCACAGGCCGGCTCATTTTCTCAACTTTTCAAGCTTGGAAGATGGTGATGGTGTTGGAGCTGATCGAGAAGATATGTTTGCGTAAAATAAACTTGTTTAAGATTTTGACTGACAGTAATTAAAAGAAGTGCAGGATGTGTACGAGTAGTGTGAGAGTACGTGTTGTAATGTTCTTTATTTTTTACTTTTCTCGTCTAATTATCATATACATAGACGATTACAAACACATGTAATAGTAAAGAATACAGATTAAGCTTTTATTACCTAATGATTGCAGACTTTGAGTGAACACTGTGCTTTTACTTTCCTTGTATCGTAATTCTGTCCATTTGATTTTCTATATTTTGTCTTATAGATGCATATTAAATACAGATGCACAACTATTAAACATTAAACGAATGATTATGATGGCACTTATACAGAAATATTCTGTGATCGTAAGCGGTGAAGAGTTATATTGTATTATCTAATACGATAAATGAAATGCAATTTCAGAAATCTATCGACAAATATATTTCATATTAAATCAATGGAATAATTAAATTAAATATGGAGATACTCGATTTAAAGTCTATCTCAGTGCAACGATTTTCAAGGTACATATGTATTACTATCACATGCATATGATAAAATAATGTATGGATGATTTGACACAGGTCGGTATTTACTTTTACTTTCGTTCCACGAATATAAAATATCGTCTTAAATGTCACTTAATCTCCATATAAATATTTATTTAAAAATATATATTTTTATTATATATCTTTTTTCTTGAATTCGTTTAATAATATTAAACACTTATACGTGAGGAAATGAAGACCAAGTATCAATATATAAAAATAAATATTTAAAAGAGAGAATGTAAAAGATAGTTATGTGCGAGTAATGTATTACGAGTTGAAGTTAAAATTAGTAAAATTATCCGTAGCCTTTTTATCAAAATGTTATCAATGATGTAATAATAATAAACCCTATATATCAAAATAAAATTTATACAACATTATGGCATACAGCAGTCAATGTATATGATACACAATAATGCTTTTATCATTTTAATGAGGATGACAATAGATGCAAAGTAATTTCCCAGGTAGCAGGTTGTAATTATTTTGACGTCAATAGTTAGTCATTTTAAATTACACATTGACGTCATTTATCCATTCTACGACGTATTTATAGCGTCATACTTATTGACGTTAGATAAATGATTAATCAATGATATATTGATAACGTTATAGTGATCAATTAATAACGTTATTCATTTATGCCATTAATAGCACGAAAATAATGTATTTTTGATATCGGTTTGTATGACGTTATGTAGCTGTAACAAATCTGCTTTATTTTTACAATGATAGGACGTCAGATTTGTCGAGAATAATTAATTAATTATGTCATAGAGTAATTATGTTATAGATGATACCTTTTTACCTAAGTTAATTAATTTCTTTAATCTTTGGATTGTAAAAGAGATAAAAAAAAGTTGTAAGTACATTTTAAAGAAATAAAAAAAGAGAGATGGAAAACACCAATTTCGGTGTTCTTAATAAGAGAGATCAATGCAAGCAATGTAAAATTAATTCTCGAATGGAGAATTAAATTACGGCACCACCTAACTGGTCATTATAATCATCGATTTCTATTTTACATAGTGCAATCTTTCTCTTGCATTGCAAGATTCAAGAATCAACCTCATCGGATGAACTTTTCGCGCGGCAATTTGTTTGCACATAAGGATTGACCTTCTCCTGCAGAGATATTATGCCTGATGTAGTAGTGCAAGTACGCGAAGCTGAACTGTGATTGCCACTGCGTGTTGAATTTCTGGAGAAGAAATCGCGATCCTGATAGCCGAAACGCTTTAACAGCAACCGCTTGATCTTCTTCTTCCATACGAATATAATGAAGATGATGAGACCTTGCAGGGTATTTGTCAGATCGGTGAGATACCAGATGTATGGCGGCGCACTCTTGAATAGCCATGATACTATTTCCATGGACCAGTTTATGCCCATTACGATGAATAACTTCAGGTACAGATTGAACCTACATGCAAATACATTTTTGTATCTTATGTATATATGCATCTTATATAATTTAGAATTATTAAAACAAAGAATTGTATTATGGACGAAAGCATTCGAAATAATCAATTTTACTAAAGGTAAATATCTTCTTGTAATCAAGTTTTAAATTAAAAGGGAGAAAGTTGCTCAGTTTTTCTTAAGAAATTTTAAAGACATATGATTTCCGTTTTTATGAAATAAGAGTAACCACTTTGATTTTATTCGCACGATCGTTTGTCATGCTTTCGAGAATCACAGGCGTTCTCGAGGAATCTCTGCGCGCACGTTCGAAACGGCGGCAATGTGTTTGTTGTTTCAAAAGATTTCGTAATTATGAAAGCAAACCACCGCATGGGAAAGTTGCCGTCTAAAAATAATCATCTTTTACGGGAACGAGGACCGATCGACATTATGCAAAACCGTTCGGAAACTGATATATCGATATATATCACATTAATATGATTATCACGTCAGTGAAATGTAGGTACTACAAACCACTGTTTATTGTCATCGTGGCGTCTGCTTTCCGAGCCTCTCAAATGATGAGCTGTGTCCTTCTTGTGACGCACAATTTTTAATGCTGTAGAGATAAACAAGCAAATGTTGCAGATAACAGTGACACCCATCGGTCCATAAAAATATAATGCCCTCGCCTCGTCCGCTGAAAATTAATTTCTCGCATTATACGTCGTATTTTGTAAATGCTAATTTAGACAATTTTCAAATTTGAGTACGGTTCTAATGAAAATCGCTATCGTTACTATCAGTAAACATCCACTTACTATTGAACCAGCATTTTGTGACACCAATTTCTGGTCGGATCAATTCCTTTGGCACACTGGGAACGAAATCCATGATGGCACAAATGATACTGAGAAGGGAAGCGCTTCCCCATGCGTAAATCGAATATATAATGAATTTTTTTCTCTCTCGTTGTTTTACGCTTCCTTGTAACGAACGGAATCCCCTGTAAAATGTGATTTACATATTATCATATTGAGTCAGCCACAAGTAGAACAAGTTGCTATGCAAATGTCAAATGCACATTAAAATAACTATCGCCTTAAGTCGCATAGTTTCTCGTAAATATGTTCAATGTGTAAATATTGTTCAGTTATTTTATAAGCTATATAAGTGATGCAACTATGATACGTATTAATAATTAAAAATTATTTCAAATTTAATTTTCTATATTTATTTATTTAAGAAATGTAAACAAAGATCATTTATAAATTTTAAAAGCTATATGAAATATTGTCCCCTAACTTTCGAAGATGTCTTTCAACACTACCAATCTCAATTCAATAGGTGATTCTTTGGACAATTAAGTTTAAATGTTATAGGCTGTGTTCGCTTTGGCGCTTACAGCGCTTGTGAGCGTCAATTGTCTTTGTTTAATATTTAATAAACAATAAATATAAACGCTTAAAGCGTTGTGAGTCATAACAAGCGAACACAGTCATATAATGTAGAAAACGTAATCTTTTTAAATGCAAATTTTTATATAAAATGATCTATTGTTGCATAAGTTAATGATCTTCTCTTTTCATTTGTAGCAATATAATGAGCTTGATTTAAATATGGACTAAAAAATGGAACGCATAGAGGAGTGGAATAGATAAATATTAATGATAACATGAAAGAATTAAAATTAAAAACTGATTATTAAAGTGACACAAATACATATATAAAATCCTACATAGAAAACGTAATCTTTTTAAATGCAAATTTTTATATCAAATGATCTATTGTTGCATAAGTTAATGATCTTTTCTTTTCAGTTGTAGCAATATAATTGATTTAAATATGGATTAAGAAATGAAACGCATAGAGAAGTAGAATAGATAAATATTAACGATAACATGAAAGAATTAAAATTAAAAGCTGATTATTAAAATGACACAAACACGTATATAAAATCCTACTGAGTCGAAGGATGATTCATGTTTCCGCGAGGACACACGTCGACGACGGCAATAATGTTGCGTATGATGCGTGTACGCAATAAAGAAAGAAATTAATCCAGTTCCAAGTACGATCCACTGCACACGCGCTCGACACCCTTGTAATTGATTACAAGAGAACAGGCAATGTGCGTACACATCAGTCGTCACACCCCCAAACGGGCTTGGCGACAACAGGTCAGTTCATCTCCGGCAATAGTAAATAGCGACACGACAATATCGCGTCATGAAATTTCATTGACACGCGAGAGATAATAAATTGCTTTATAGCATTCCACACGAACGTATATATATATATATATATATATATATAAAACGACAGTACAAAAAAAGTATGTATCGTATATCATAGACGTGATTAAAATGTATGACTTATATAATGTTAAATTGATCGATTATTAATTGATTGTTAAATTGATCAAAATACAAATGATTTATATATTGATATCGTTTCTTAATCTCATTTTAGAAAATGCGTTAATAAACTGAATTATGTATGCAGTAATAAGTCTTCATTGTTAAATGAATATATTCGACGTTCACGCAACTCGTGAATGTCAGTGTTTGAGGATATGCTCTACTAACATTTTCCGTTCACAAATATTGCCTGTTCGAATAGCTTCTTGGACCGACGTCCAAGCGAAGGAGATCAAAATTAACTCGACTGTGTTTGCGCCACATACGCACGTCGTCACGTACCGGATATTAATTCGCATCCTGTCGCTATCAATTTCCCCTAGTGTTTGTCAATTATCAAATTTCTTTACCACAACCGCTGGATCGAGTGGCGCTTGTGAAAATATTTGGCGAATCAATTAACTTATTTTGACCTAGAACTCGATCTGGAAAAGTTTATCCTTGATAAACCGTAATTAATGTTTCAATTATAATTATAAATAAATGTATACTATATATATATATATGTATAATCAAATTACATTGTACAAATTATAATTGAAAATACATTTCAAATATAAATCGATTATATGTATATAAAAATGGGAAGATTTTACGAATAATTATCTTCAAGAGATTCAAGTCTAAATGTCTCCGTTCCATTCCAGAAATATATTACGAGATTGTCTTTAATAGATCAGTTTGATGACAGATGAAATGAATATGGTTCAATAGTATGGAATATTTTGATAGCTTACCCGAATGTCCACCAAATGTCGAAGCACATCACATTTAGCCAGAAGAAGCTTGCCAAAAACGAGAAGTGGATGATGAAAGCTGAAACAGTCGAATAAATATTTACTATTTAACTGCTAATCATGCATTAAAATGCCGATGAGAGATAGATCTACTCTTGAAAAAAACAGGTTTATTTCATTATAAATTTATTGACATTAAAAATAAAAACCTTGAAAAAACCTCGTAAAAACCTTGAAAATAATATATGCTATTAAATAAGAACTATTTCAATTTCGATTTAAATATTATGTCAAAATCACCACACAAAAATTTGCTAATTTTCACGAAAGGAAAAAAGATACTCATCCAATGAATTTTCAAATTAATTCTGTATCAAGATTTAAATTTTACTCCAACTTTCGTTACGTTATCTAAATGGATAAACGTTATCCATTTCATTTTAACTTTACATCCTAATTATCAGAGAGGGAGAGAATAATTGACATGCGAATAGTTTACATAGTAAAATAGATGTATACAATGTATTTATTGTATTATTATATGCTGTACCAAATGTGATGCAGGCGGAATACGATATTATGGCCTGATGGATTAGTTGAATTATTACGAGAAATGTATACGCGACGAACAACGAGCCGACGTATCCGCGCAGCGTGTAGCCATGCATGTTCCAAAGTTCCGGTAATATGGAGTACACCACGAATGTTGCCAATAAAAACGGCAAGGACACTATCAGACCCACCACAGGTATTCCTTTCTTTTCTTCCGGGACGTCTTCAGCCTCACTGTCGAAGCAAACAGTTACATCAAATTTTTTATCATCGTTCCAGACAGCAAGGCAGTATGATGTAATGATAGATTCGTTGATATATGGTTGATATAAAGAGCCATTACTAAGAAATAAATAGTCGTCAATTTGTCTGATTTCAGGTTCAAGCACATAACGTTGATACTGGCAAGGATCATGAATAGTCAGAGGAAAAATTTGATCCAACTTTTTACCAATTGGTATCCTCTTCGAATCGTTTATCACATACTCGTATACATCGGGTAAGGGATAATTAGATTGCCCAACAACGCACTCTTCTTTTATAATATCATTAATTTGTGTTATTTTCAGACGTTTGCCGAGAGGACAACAAAGCGGAATGCATGTAATGTTCTCGCACATCTGGTAAGGAACAATATTTTTCTCATCTTGATAAAACTTTTCAGAAAACTCGTAAAACGTTAAGTTGCTTGTGTCTTCAACTTGCGTCAAATTTCCATTGTATAATGTGGAATTATTCTCATCATCGGCTTTTGTAGAATTCGCGCCAAGTTCCATCAGCATTTGATTGCCGCCCTCGTGATTCTTCACAGGTCGCTGTGCGTGAAACGCATACTGCACCGAATCATTATCTTCATGGTTGTCATTTGTGGAGTTAGCGCGAAACTCATACTGCTCGTCATTCTTGGAATTTTCATGTAGATTATATCGTATCAACTTTACATCATCGCTCGTTGTCGTGGAATTTCCCCAAGGCTTGGAAGAAGAGGCGACAAATAAAAACGTATAACACCAAAGCGCGAGATTTTGTCGATGCATCGTCGACACGTCGAATTTACTGAACCGTCTTGGTTTTCTCTTCAAACAACTTCGTAGTCAGATATCGAACAACCGCAACGATATCGCAAACTGCGGAAACGAAGATACGCGTGATATCGTCAGTCTGTGTAGATTTAGCCGCGACTGCAAACGCTTTTGTCCGAAGGACGAATGTGTATCGCAGCAAACGTACAAGTGTATGCCAGGAAGAAAACGATGAAAAAGAAGGCACCTCGTTAAAACAGGTCCTGTTTCGGCTAAAGATGACAGAATAAGGGAAGACTTCTTAAAGATGAGTCTTATAGTTTATTTTTCGGAGAGTATGGAGAATGTGTGGCATGACGTGTTTGCACTTATTTGTTTTTAAGAGCTTTTAGCACTTTCTCAGGTTTAAGACGAGCTTCCGGTTCGCCTCGCAACAACTGAGATAAATTATTACAATTGACGTCTAAGAAAACTTTATTTTACACTTTACTTTTCGTATAGTTCGATTTAAAAAAATATCTTTAGATAAAAAGATCTTAAGATAATTTCTAAACTAATTAGATGATTGGAACCAATTGAGCTAAACATACATTTTCACCATATTATAAAAATTTCAAATTTTTAAGTATTGAAAAGTTCTATATTAAATCAATGGAACATATATTTTATGTTAGTTGAACGAAAGAAGCAAGCTATATTAAATACAAGGCAAATATATAAAGCAAGCATAGAAGCAAAATAACTTTTAATTGTATAATTAATTATATATTATAATTAATTATCTAAAAAAATGAATGAATTAATTTCTTGTATATCACTGAAGCAGAACACCGACTTTCTCATTTATTGAGTAATAAACAATTTATGCATATATATGTTATAATAAACTGTAAATATCACAACAAATTTTTAAATATCAGTATCGATTTACAAGAAAAGCAGAGATATTGCTAGAGCATTTAGAAAGTTGTCATGTACTCGTGTGTTAAATAGATATCTCATTAATTCGTAAGATTTCTAAAGCCACGTTCCATCCGGTTTGACGCGATCTCTACAGAAATATGCTATGCATAACATATGATATGAATACGTGTGTGTGTGTGTGTGTGTGTGTGTAAATAATTAATGAAATTATCATATTTAAAAAATAATAATAGCGATAATAGTGATGTTTCCTGCAATTAAAAATTAATTCCACCGTGCAATAATCGCAAGTTAACATTAATCTTCTTTGTGTATAACATGAGTTAATAGAAATCGCATCATTCTATAGATATACCGATTGTGATGCAGATGCCGTTTGGGATTTGTTCCTGTGGTGTCAGTTGCAACACCCCCAGTATGCTGTACGCCATTGCTAAGCAGCCGACGTATCCGCGTAATGTCAGACCATGCAGATTCCTCAGCTCAGGTAGTAACCAGTAGATAACATATGTGACGACCAGGAACGGGACGGATGCGAGCATCCCGTAGGAATATATAATCCCGTCGTCGTCTTCGATCGTTTCATCGCAGAAGAATACCATATATTCCGGATACTCATAACTTTTCACCCGCGCCAGGCAGTACTGATAATAGTTGAGGAGGCCATTGGACAGTAGGTACCATTCGTCGTCCTCGTATACACGCGGATTCAAAGAATATCGTTTCATACCAGCACATGGATTCCATATTACAAAATCAAAATATTTATCACTTGCAGTGACATTCGCCGATATAAGATCCATTTCGTAGATCACTGGCAACTGTACCGCTTCCGTCCCGTTCATGGTGGCCTCCACGCAATTGTCTCCGTTGAGGAAAGTGTCAACACGACAGCATAGTGACATGCGGGGCTTCCCGGAGCTGTCACCGGAGCTGTTGATGCCAATCGTTTTCTAGGAGTAAAGAGCCAGAGGAAACGAAGACAAATAATGTTAATTCACGATTGGATATGAGCAGAGAGGAACCAAATGCCATTTTTTAGATTTTTATTATTGAAAGTATTATATAACCGATAGCGAATTATGCATAATACAATCAGTTGGCAAAATTATTTTAGATCCACACATGCTATTGTAGAATTTTTCTGATTACTATCTGAATATTATTCAACTTTTTGATGTTCCTTTCTGCGTATTATATCCAATTACACCAGTTAATAGAGAAAATAATTGAGTCCAAGCCACTATGTGAATTAATCAATCAGAGATGAACAAATTACTGTAATTCATTAGCAGATTAATATTTAAGCAGCTTCTGATCTATAAATGCATAAATGTTCCACATATTTCATTATTTCTAGATTATTTGCATTTACACATTTAATCAAGTTAATTCTCAAGATGCAAGTTCTTTCGAAAATCTTGATTAATTACGACACACAAACAATTAGTAATCGTCTTTGATCATTATTTCACGAATACTCGAAAATTTACTATCAGTCATTATAACGAAATCAGCATTAAATATCGTTAAGGTAAGCAAAAGTATTATAATACGCGTTAGCAAAGCGACGAATTAATATCTCATCGACAAATTCCAAATACAACATAGTGTGCAATCGAACTTGGAATTATCTCTACCTCCAGATAAACATGAGGGACGATAAAATTTTCCTTCCATTTTGATTCCTCTGGCTCTTCCTTTGTCTGATCGCTTTCGAAAGTGGCAGCCGCGATCAAGACCGCGTGAAACGCGATGAACAGGGCTGTTCTCAGATGCCGTTTCATTATGTACTAATTTAATGAGGCTGTTAAACAGCAACTCTGAATAATTATCGTCACCGCCTCTCAACGTTATCACCGTACGGAAGCTTACTCACGAAAGTGCCACAAGAAATGAAGCGGAAGAGAGAAAGAGAAAGATAAAAAACACGATGACTCTCTGAAGAAATACGGTAAGATATTCTCTCTTTGTCTCATAAAATGATAATAAAATATGGCCAATTGTATCTCTTATTACTCGTTTACCTTACTATCTCTCGCTGTGTTCAGTGCGTGAATTGTTGAACCAATTGAGTGAAAGTGATAAAGAAGGATGCGAATTTTGATCAGTGTTTAAGATATCATGTGGTTACAACAACATCCTTGGTTATATGAGATATAGTTATTTACAAAAAGCATACTATTCACAGATATATGTTACAAATGATAAACAGTTACATAAGTAAATATATTACAAATGCAATTTGTAACATATTTGAATATTATCCCCATATACTAATATAATTTATAATTATATTCTGTATACTAAGATAACAAAATTTTATTCATTTAATTATTGCTACTTTATAATTATGATTCTAAGCAAAAAGATTAATGAGATGTTAACTAAATAAAATATACAGATTTGCATTTAAATATATATAGCTCTCATGAAATGTACACCATCTAACCACATAAATATGTAAATGATGATCTCAAAGTATCTACATAAGCGACATATTTGTACAGTTAAATACTTGATAATATTAAAGTTAATATATACAGTACAGACACTCGATTATCTAATATTGTTTGTTAAATAAGTAACTTGTTTATGTGAAAAATATTTTTACCTATGTTGCAAAAATATTGAATTATTGAATATACTGCGAATACTATTCTGATGATCAATGAATCAAGTGAGCCAAAGGATCAATGATTCAAATGACTGAAAAAGGGGTGTATATTTAAATAAATTATTATCAATTGAGTTGATAATGACGTATTGACTTATACAATATAATTATTTATCGGGGAGATTGGAATAAACGCGGTGGTAAAATTAAGTTGTAAGATTTCTTTTTTCTTTCTTCTTAAGCAAATCGTTGAAACATAGAAAATTCATCCGAATTCAAATATAGCACTATTATCACTAACGATTGCGTTGATTTTCAGTTATCTCGATGGATTCGATAAAGTTAGCACTACGTTCCGTTTTGCCGCGACTTTTCCTGGCGACGGATGAAGCAGGAAGAGCGCACGAGAAATGCGAAACACTCGCGCGAGCAACCGGACGAGACTACCAGACAACGAGCCGTCTGCGTTAGAGAAGCAGTCTACCTGCTGCGAAGCCACGCATATAGGGCGGGTCGAAAAAAAAAGATTCATTGACAAACCAGTACAATCTACAGATGGTAGCTTGACCAATCCAGTAGCAACGTAAATTTAGAAGCTTAACTGTTTAGATACTTTATGCTCCACAATGAAGAGCCATTACATTTTCGGGAGGATTACAAAAACTGAGAATAGATTTACGAATGATTAGACGAGCGAGCAATCAAAATTTCAATTTGTACCAGGTGCTATTTTATATACAGCCGAAAGATTTATTTCAAGAAGCTATTAATTGATAGTACAGGCGTAGAAAAAAATTTTACTTCCTGTGAGAGATTCTCACAGCTAATATTTTCTCGATCTTATCATCCTAAAGTACAAAAAAAAAATAAGTTATTGAAAATCCAAAGATGATATAATTATATCATACTTTACCGTTATTCATATATTTTCATCTCACCCTATAAGCAATAATGCTTGACCAATGTGAAGATATACAACACATAACACGCAAAAAACCGGTTTCATCGTTCGTATCACATCGTACTCATTGGAAGGATCATTAACATTTATTTTACGGGAAATCGAAGCTAGTAATAGCTAGATAGACGCCAACAGGTTCTTAGTTCGGATCCGATCCCGACTTTCCTCATTGAAAGGACCTTTTCAATCATGTTTTCTTCAAAATAACGTGGAACGAATGGTAAATTAAATTGTATCAGGAAATGTAATATATGATTCTTACATCATCACTAATCACAGAGATATCGGAATCGTGCGTGCAGAAAAAAGCACGCTGATTCATACGACTCGTGCTTCATATTGATGGTGGAATACAATGTTATACTTATTTATACGTAATAAAATATGTACATGTGTTTATTTGTAGTGTAATTATAAAGTAAAGTAACTAATCCCTACTAATCCCTATCTTATGAATTTGTAATCATCGTTTTTATAAATCTATAAAAAGTATTTAATATAAAGTTTCCTTCTTTTGTTATTTTTAAATGTTTGTTAAAGAGGAAAAATCTTTTATGTAAATCTGTGTTATCTAAATCTATATTTTTTCTTTATACATATACTTTATGTATATCATATTTATACTATAATATATAGTATATATATATTTTTTATTATATATTTTTATTTATCTAATATTTCTTATTTTTAATTTTCTTCTTTTCCGTTTTATCGATTAATATATACGAGTTAATCAACTCATTGATGACTAAGCATCCAACTTCGCAACCATAAATATAAATTCGTGATGTATCTTTTTCGCATTGCAATGATAATTTTATTCATGATAATTATTTTTAAAAGTATGAATAAAAATCTAAATATAAAAGATTAAAATAGTATAAGAAATTTAAAAATATCTCTTTTTTTTATAATATCTCTCAAGTACATTAAAAAATTAATATTGAATATTAATATCGCTCAAAATGATCAGACATTTTTAAAAAGAACTATAATAAATTTACTCGTTAGTTGCTGGTATTTATAATGTTCTCCTGGAAGTAATAATTAACTCTATAAGCATAATGTTAATAATTATTACATTACAGTAATTATTTCATTAAGGCATAGTGTCATCTTTATTATTCGCATTCGTGTAGATTCTCTCGTGAGATAATATTCCCATTTATCATTTCGAAGAAAAAATAAGGTAACGCGAAATTAAATGTAGAGAGATTTGTGATTTTTTTAAGCATTGACATACATTGACTTTGCACGAGATTATTATTTTAATTATTTCTTCGCAAACAGTAAGATGCGATCATCAATTTTTCCTGCATTCCATACAAAGTAATAATGCCGCATAATAATTTTTCAACTCTACTATCATAACAAGTATACATGTTTTCCATCACGATTACAGAAAAACATCTGCGGATGGCTCAACTTAGTGATTGTTAGAAATAACGGATAAGTATTACATAAAGAGGCTGCTTACCTGTGCTGAAGCATAACACGCGTATTGGAGACATATAAATATAGTTGGCCAAGATCAGGAAGACATAGGCGATAATTAAGCAAATGACATAACACATGAGCGTCTTGCCGTAGAGATTTCTCAATTCAGGAGTAATTGCATACACCAAGAAAGTGGCAATGAGAAATGGAATGGACACTATGATGCCCATATGATAATGAAAATCTTTTGCTTCCTCTTCCGGCGTATAGCAAACCAAGACGCCAATTCGATCGACGGTCATTTTCCAATCAATGCAATAATTCCAGAACGGAGAGATTTTCCCAGCAGTGTCCACAAAGCTGCCATTCGCCTGGAGAATAATCTGTTCGTCACTGTCGTCATCGGGATTGAGAGTGTAATATTGCTGGCCAGGAGGACAGACGTTATCCTGCACCAAATAGAAATAGTTCTTCAGATTTTCAATGTGTTGAATCTCCTTGGTCATTTGATTCCTCGATAGACGCAAATGTGGTATCTCGGTTATCAGCTCCGTATCGTTCCGAGGCATCTTCTGGCATATCTCGGAATTATACGATTTATTGCGGAGAATCTCATCATCTCCGCAGCATTTCCTGATACAATTGCGTGATCTGCAAATGCAACCATAAGTGACATTGCCGTCAGTCCAGCGCAGTTCGGCCGGATAGAGGATGCCATCGTAGATAAAGCTGCCGTTTTCTAAAGATCGCGACGCCGCACCGTTGCTCTCTAAGCTGAGGATCACGCTGAACGATGGCGAACAACGCGGATCGTTGATCAGCGACAGTCCATCGGCAGCATCGCCGGTATCGTCGGCTATCAACGTACCACATGCAGCGAGGAGGACCGCCAAATTAAAACTTACGGAGCGGCCACCCATCGCGACAAGGGCGTTGAAGAGCGAAAACTATCGGCCGCAACCCGCGCGATCATCTTGGTGGCTCCGCTTCGCGCTCGGCGCCCAGCATATCTGCGTCGGAGAATGCGCACCACGACGAAGCGTCGCGACGCTTCGTGCTCATACACCCACGACCAGAGATTTCTTTGCCTAAGAGACCATTCTCGAACGGAAGGATCGTGTCTATAACTACTTATTCCATATTATTAAGTGGAGAGCGCCGCTTATTACATTAACTGGATTAACTGCGTCCATTATCTTCTATTTCCATAAATTTACGTTTCGTACAGAATCTGAGCTCCTTTGACAAAAAGTAAAAAAAAGAAACACTATTTATAAATATTTTATTAAAGGATAAATTGTATATATATATATATATATATGTGACTATATATATTCGAAATTTGTTTGGAGACTAATGCTCATATTCATAGTCAGGCTTTACATCTAAAGCTTCCTTAAATTAATTGTCTTCAGATATTCTACGAATTATTTCATTGAGCATCTAAAGATAAATTTAAGGAAGCTTTAAATACAAGGCCTGACTATGCCCTACGAATACGGGCATAAAATATCTATTCGAAAGTCAAATTTATAAAAAGGGCTACGAGCCAGAAATACAAAACAAGCAAAATAAATTATAAAACTATAAATATTACAATACAAACGTGTCGACACTGATCGGATCATTCTTCAATGTTAACAAAATTCTTAAAATCTATCGCTTATAAAATTATCCAAAAATTATATAAATACATGTTAAATTCTGAAATGCTCGCCAACAATGGAATCCTTTAATTCTTCTCAACAATGTAGACCCCACGAATAGTAAGGGCACGTTTTTCATATGTTCTTGTAAAAAATTATCTTGTTATAAAATGTTGTCCAGATAAAATTCTCATTGTCGCATAATATTGAAAGCATTACAGAAAAGCGAAATAGAAGTAAGCCATAAAAGGATCTATAAAGAGACCTCGGAAAGTAATCGTAACAGTTCACATAATTGTGCAATTGTGTAATGAAATTAGCACAATATATTGTATAAATAGCTTTTTATGTGAACACTTTAATTTTCATTGAAAGAAGAAAAAATAATAACAGTCGTTTATGAATTCCCATCTTATAATCGACCAAATTACAATCAGAAAAAAGATGTGCAAAGACTATGTAATATTTCAACCAAGCTATGTAACTAAAATAATAAGCATGTAAAATAGTGTACCGCAAAACAATAATAAAAGGAGATTAATAGAAAAGGAAGGTGCGACTGTATGATGTTAGAATATAATTCCGGCAATGAATCCGTATTTAATCATTTTGTTTATTAATTCCATGTTTTTACCTTTTAATGTATCATTTCCGAAATTAATCTCATAGGAAGATTCTATGTCAAAAATTTTCACGTTATTCCATTTAAAATTATGACCCTTCTCTATACGATGATTAAAGATAATCGATGGAGATTTAGTTATTCTATTAATGTTACGGAAACATACTTATGCAATCGCGTCTTCAACTGCCTCTTTAGTTTGGCCCACATAACTAACATCACAGTCATCCCATAAAATCTTGTAGACAACATTTTGATTGTATAAAGGTTCCAGTCGATCCTTACTCTTTTTTATTAAACTTTTCAAAGTGTTCGGAATAGTATAAGCTAATTTACAATTGAACATATTTGCAAGAGGTGAAAATTTTTCAGAGATAGATTTGGCAAAAAATTTTTCTTTAACTTTAATGATATTAGTAGTAGTAGTAATCTTATTGTGAATGTGAAATTTAATTCTATTATGGTTCGTAGAAAAAATAAATTGTAATGGATATCCATTATTCAAAAGGATATTAATGGCGTTCATTAAATTGTTTTTTTGAATCCGAGGATGGCAAAAACCGAGGATACTTATTCGAGCTTATTCTGTAATAAATGAAACTGTATTACTCGTTTGACTGATCTAACTTTTAATCCTAATAGAATTATAGTTACCATGAATTTGAATTTATCGTCAAATTTATAAATAGTTTAGAATTCTAGAGTTAATGATAAAGTTAATGATGAAAATTTGATGCTTCAAATCCTCCTTAATTTTAAGATTATTAAATTTCCTTGTCGCTACATTGTTAATCAATATAATCTTAAGAATCATTATACTATTTATAAATTGCGAACGTATGATAAATATGTAATATAAATCGAATACATTTAGTCATGGAACACATTCGTTTCTTTATCTACAGAAGAAACAAAGGAAAAATTATAATTGTCCAATAATATTGAATATCTATAATCCACCTCTCGAATTATACCTAAAAATCTGATAAAACATCACGGATTTTTCTTCCTCCAAATAATTCGAATGTGCGCTGCCATTCTATTTCAATAGCGGTGCTATCTACATGCAAATTGCTGAAACTTAATTTGTCCTGTTACCACCAATCGGTATATCGTCCATGTTGATTTCGACATTGCTAACTGTTGATATTTTATCAATCTAATCTGGCGCTACTCCATAATTGTATTTACACGCCTATCGACAGTTGCGGTGTCGTTGCGCAGATATTTTGTATGATAAAACAGCTGCGCAACACATCGACAACTGTCAGGCGTGTAAAAACAATTATGGAATCGCGCTTGATCTAATAAATAATTGAATGATTGAGAACATTGATTAATAATTATCGATTATGATGATAATGATGATGATGATATAATAAGTTACGACAGAACTGATCGTTAGATTATGGCGAAGGTAATACGTGCTTTTTCAATGAATAATTAGTTTTTGTTACATAATCTGCTATGTAATATATAAACTGTTAAATAATAATAAATTAAAATACAAGGTCTATTATATATTAAACGAGCAATATATTAAGGATAACCGTCCAGCAAACAAAAATGGATTAAAATGGATTGAAATTTTTTTCTATCCGAATGTAAATTTTCTATTTCTATGCGTATTTTAAATAACGAATACTTTTTTGGATTTAATTGGATTCAATTGGATTCAATTAGATTCAATTGGATGCAATTGGAAAACTGCATTTTCTATTTAAAATTTTGAATTGAACAGTATTCACAATGCACAGAAAAAACTAATATTATTTTTAGATTAAAAGGCATAGAGATATGCAATTCTTATAAATGGATAAAAATGCATTCAGGATTGAAAAGCATTCATTTTAACAATGAATCAATATTTCTGAAAATCTGAATCCATTTCAATTCATTTCAATCCATTCTCTTTTGCTGGGCGATAAATAAAATATTCCGTTTAGATTTCACCGTTTTAATTTGCGATATTTTATTAAAATGCAGAAAGTTAATTGAATTTATGCACAGCTGAGGAGGCTAAGTAAAGCTCGAAACATTCTGTAAAAAGTAAAATAATAAAATATATGTTTTTTTTTATCGGTCATATCTTAACACTGCTCTTAATATAAATAGATGTAAACATTACATAATTAGGCCTGTAAATAAAAAATCACGCAATTTTACAGAAATTAAACTAAATGTAAATTAAATTAAATGTAATTTCACAAAAATTATGTAAATTTGCTTTTATTATGTAAATGTATCTTATTTTATATGGAAAATTACGTAAATAGCAGAATATTTTAAACATTTTCTGTAATTATCCAAATTTTAATAATATTATTTACGCAATATATATATATATATAACAGTAATTTTTCGCGTATTACCGTATAATCAAATATATAGTGCAAAATGTCATATTATTATTCCTGTAACTACACGTACATATTGTAATTGTACTTCCACAAAATCTGCTTAGTTGTAAATCAAAAAATTATTTTTATTTTTATATTGCAAATTTTTACGAACGCGTGGACGTTTATAACTATTATTGGGAGAGTCTCAAAATTATCCATTATAATAGTTGTAATTTTACACAAAAATTTTTTACAGTGCATCACTAGAGATTAGAAAGCCCTAAGGCTCGTCCGCTATGATTGGCGGTCGTCGATCTTAAAAAAATAACGGAAAAATAACGAAAAGTTACTTTCTCAAGTAACGGTAACTATAACGTTACTTTTATAAATCGATAACTAATATAATGGTAACTTATATTACTTTTTCTACTCAGTAATGAGTAATTGTAACTTGTTACTTTTAAAAAATAACTTTTCATTCCCTATAATTTCAACAAAAAAAATTATAGAAAATGGTTGTTTGTCATCTTTTACATAACAACAGTTACATAACAAATACACTTTCAAAGCAATTATAAATTCGAATCTCCTAATAAGAATACGAATTGTGTTTAATTAGAGAGATTCAATTGTTATTATTTACACGAGATTTGAGCAATTATCCGAGCGTATATCTTATCACAGAAAAAACAAAAATAAATCTATCATAAATGGAGGAGGATTGTTAGAAAAACAAGTTTCAACGAACTCGAGTGTGCTCGACCCCCCGCCAATAATTACGCATGATTACGCGAGATAGCTTATGAAACTGTATGGTCGATCGTACGATAAATTTGTCACAGTTTCCACTTCCTCCTGCCACGACAGTATGCGGTGGCACACAGTTAGTTCGTTGTTGCCGTCCGTTGTGTTTGCTGTGGTCTGCCAATCTCGCCGGGTCGACAAGGTAAGTTTCATTTTTCGCGATCGCATTTTTGCAACTTGCAAAATTGATTAGAATCCTTCGAATAAAAATCTAGCCGATTCAAACCGAATACCGCAGAGCTGCACGTTCAGAAATTTCATATACAGGTCTTATTTTATTCTTGTTTAACATACAGGGTTCGGCAAAATGATCTCTCACATTTTAATTTTTAATAATTTAAAAATGTGGGAGATCATTTTGCCGGACTCTGTATAAATAACAAGGCTAAAACAATAAGTGTATCCTCTTGTTTTAGATGAAGATTTTTAACGCGGCCCTGTACTAACTATAAAAGATGAATTTAAAGAAAAGGAAATCGTTTCTACTTAAAAAACTGCCTTTATACGTTTTTATGTTGAGTTTTTTAAATTTCTAATTATTATTTTCTTTTCTATTTATTCATTTGTTTTATTTCATCAGACTTCTTATGTCTTATTGCATTTTTCTGGATGTAAACGGAAGTCTACACTCAGGTGGTAAAACATTCGTGTTCCATGCACTTGTTTATGCTCGTATGATCTTTCTCTTTTCTGCTTTTTTCTGTATGACGTAAGCATGATAATCGGTCATTGCTATTCTGTTAGATCACAGCCTCCGTGTCACAATTGAGGCACACATGCAATTGTCAATCGTCAGTAAATAAACGTCACAATACGACATATGACATCACGTGAAAACTTTAGTCTTTATACACACAAATATTCCGGATGTACATGCAGGACGAAACGATCCTGGCGGAAATTTTGTATCGTCCATTATGAAAAGTACAATCTTGACTTCCCGTTTCTTTCTTCCAATTTACAAGTCGATTATTTTAAAAGTACAAAAACAAAACACAAAACTTTTATGTTTTCTTGTACTTAATTTTCCCTTTTCTTTATTTATTAATTTCATTATTTTTCTAGATGACGAGTCCGAATGAAATAAGAGACATATGGAGAACTGCGGATGCTGTAACATTGGATGTAGATTCCACTGTTATAATCGAGGAAGCTATCGATGAACTAGCTAGTTTCTGTGGGAAAGGAAAACAAATCACTGAATTGTACATTCCTTAATTTGTCTTTTTTTTTCTAAAATGACTTCTTCTTGATGTCAATCTTATTATCCTTAATCTTATTATGATTGTGCATTCTACCTGGGATCTTGCACGCAATAAGATGCCAGATTTCACATTTTTCATTGATGCAAAAATATCGAAAATTTTTCAGAACAAAACAGGCTATGCAAGGTGATATGACATTTCAACAATCCTTATCTATAAGACTGGGAATCATAAATCCAAGTTTAACACAAGTTAAGGATTTTTTAAGTACACATCAGCCATCACTTACCACTGGTATCAAGTAAGATTTTCGGGATATAGAAATGAACAAACGAAGATTTGTGTATTTTTAACAATTTTTTAAATACATATTTCAGAGAGTTAGTGTCTACTTTACAAGCTCGTGGAAAGCAAGTGTTTCTTGTCTCTGGTGGTTTCCGCTGTCTTATTACACCAGTTGCTGCCAAACTTAACATTCCACCTGAGAATATTTATGCTAATAAATTAAAATTTTATTTCACGGGTATACATTAACATTTAAAATTTTATTTCACGGGTATACATTAACATTTAAAATAGCTATTTATAGAATGTACAATATATATTCATACATACAAATGTGTGTCATAGGAGAGTATGCTGGCTTTGATGAAACTCAACCAACTTCTAAAAGCGGTGGTAAAGGAGAAGTAATACGGCATCTTAAAGAGGAAAAAGGATTCAAGATTGTCGTACATGTCGGTGATGGCTCCACAGATTTAGAAGCATCACCGCCAGCGGACGCATTTATAGGTATGTATAATATTCGCTTGAAAAAAAACTTGTCTCTCAACACTCGTATTTCATGCTAAAATAATGATAGAAATTGTGCAATAATGATAATCAAGCAGATCATAAACCATGATCTGCTTGATTATCATTATAACAGCAAATAAACATTTATTTTTGTTCCAGGATTTGGAGGAAATGTAATTAGGGAAAATGTAAAATCACGCGCTCAATGGTTTGTTACAAACTTTGATGATCTCGCGAAATGTTTATAGATGCAAAATATTTTTCTAAAAATATAAGAATTAAATTCTTTTGATATTAGTCAAAATAAAAAATTACATTATTCACACGAAATAAAGACGATTGTGATCGATTAAACAATAATTTTATAAAAATGATATAAGAATTAAATGATAGGAATTAATGCACACTTTCAATAATTGTAGGCAATGTTCATAAATGTTCATAAATAACACATTTTATTCTACACAGTACATGAAATATACAATTATCTTTTTGCAGTGATTTCTAAAATCATCTGTGCCATCTATGTATAACATTTTATATCAACCAGTAATTATTAATATTACACTGTCGTAACTCTAAACTTGTTTATAACCTGTACATAATTACATCGCAAATGTATACAAAATTGCTTTTTTACTTGCCTATTTTTATTGTGACAAATCGAATGTCGGCGAGTGGTAAAATTCCGATGAAATAACATATGATAAAACACGATAATATATAAAATATGTATTTTTCATTTTACGGATTCGAAATGATGATTGCCATGAATCTGAACTTCTTTTAGCAACTGTAAGATTATCAATTGATGTATTTTGTATGACCTACAATTTAGAAACTGTGTAAATTTCAACATTATTCCATCATGATGCAATTGACAATAAATTATGTATTAGCCTTTGATGCTTTCTCCAATTTTTTCTGTGAAATCCACTCTTGTATCTTCTGTTGAAGTTCAACGTTTGATTTTACCATATCCATTGTAAGTGGAGATCGATTAAAAGGATCAGTTTGATCACTTAGCAAATGCCTGAAAATATATTTAATAAAATATATATAAATTTTGTATTGTGATGTATGAATTAAAAAATATTTGTATATAATATATTCGTGTACACTACCTTGCTATAGTCTGACGATCAATAGTTATTTTCGATGATGGCAAAATAACAGGATCTGCCATGACAGTTGACATAATTGGATCTAAAAATTCGTCAGGAATACCTGTCAAAATCTCATCTTCCTCTCGCTTTTGATTTGCAGCCTGTTCCACGCTTTTTGCAAATTGATCCAAATCTCCCAATATTCCCACACCACCGATACGAACTGTGATATGCACATGACTTTTTAGATTCTTCTGGTCTAAATAAAGTGCTTCTTAGAAAAAAAATATAGAAAAACTTACCAAGAACATTATCTGCAAGTTTAAATAATTCTGGACTATAAGAACGGCCATCTTGAGATACAGCAAGTGTAAAACTTTCACTTTTACTCAGATTAATGTAAATTTCACATATATTTAACACTAAATTTGCAGGATTGAATGCGTATTCTTTTTGATCATTCACCTAAAAATTTCATAGATATACGAGATTATAATAATATTGTTTTTACTGTAACATTTACAGATTCTAAAAATTACCTTAAGATTTTTTTTATTCGGTCCTACTAATTGCAGTAATAAGTAATTGAGCATAGAAGCAATACGATCCACCATCGTTGGATGGCAAAATATTGATTTTATTTCAGTAGTCAACATTTTTATCGTTTGTATAGTTTTCCTACCCAGAATGTTATCAAAGCGAGCAATCATACCAATATGCTGAAGATACGATGCCTGTTGTTCGCGTTCATTTGGTAGCATTTTATTCCATTCTCCGCTTTCCCTTTTGTTCGAAAACAAAAAATGATATTTAATGCAAATGTATTACAAAATATTTAATTTAAGAAATATGATGCATATACACAGATACAATAGAAAATAATAATCTTATGCAATGTGTGAAAGAAAGACGTATTTTTTAAAATACCTAGCTTGAAGCATTTGTCTCAACTGTGCCATATTCGATAAAGCTTCGTCCAGGAGAAACACAGCATCATTCATTAATAAATTAATAAAACGTAGAAACAAAGGTGGTTGGACAGCTTCCATGTTGCTCTCAGCTTCTTGAGCTAAAGTACTGATACATTATATTATATAAAAACTTTATTTATCAGATATCGAATTTTTAAATATCAAACAAAGACAGTGATTAAATATAATTTGCCTTACATAAAATTATTACGATGCTCGACAAGTTTCCATAAATAGTCCATAACAATGTACATTGGACGACGGTAATTGAATTTTTGTTCAAATTGTACACTTTGCCCAGTCATCTCAATACTTACAAACACATGCAGTAAGTTGACAATTATCTGTTTGTAGAATAGTACGCGAGAGATAATCAGCTATATGCATGAATTTTTTACTAAAGAATTCAAAGAAAAACTTTATTCACCTGCTGTCTGTATGGATGAGTAAGAAACAGTTGTTCCCTATGGAATGTTCCTAAGTTTGGCGTCCCGGGAGCAACATTCTCGTCTACAATCGGCAAAAGTGCCTCCAGACTTTCGGCTAAACGAGCGCGCAGATGCGGATTATAAAGTCGATGCTGAGACTCCATCAAAACTATAATCTAAAGGAAACAATATATAACTTTAACAATCACGACGAGAATACATTTCGTTCTATCTTGACTTACTTCCGTCAAGATCGGATTCAGAAAATTCACACCCTGTTCCTCGAACGTGTTTGGACTTAAACGACGTAAAAAACACAAGAATCCAATGGTATTCTCTACTACGAACTCAGGAATGCATCTATAGACACAGGTTTATTAATTTTCATATTAATTTCATTCGTATTATTATGATTTGACATATGTATATACAATACCTTAATGTAATTGGAACAGTTTCTGATAACGGGAATGTAACAGGTGTATAATGTGTTGGTACAAAACTTTGTTTATTCCCTTCTTCGGTTATAACGTACAAATTGACTTGTATTAACCAAAACGCCGTCATTGCGTGAAATTTCGACAAATGACACAACATTTCCGGCACTAATAGACTCGCTTTAAGAGATAAATACCTAGAAAAAAATATGTATATATACAGGATGTTCAAAAAAGGTGTCCGATCGAAGATTAAACCCTATTAAATGTTGTTCAGGATCATAATCTGGATAACATTTGTCAAGATCAAGGTTATTGAAGATATTGTTTCTCTTATTTTCATTTTTGCACTAAGAATTCATTTTTACATAAAAATGAAAATAAGAGAAACAATCTCCAATGACCTTATCATGATTCTGACCCACGATTCTCATCCTGGGTAATGCTAATGTCGGCGATATCATAACTTTCAAGCCTCATAATTCGAAAAGTACTTAATAAAAAATAATTAAATTACAGTGTTTTGAAAAGCTCTTGACATCAGCTATTAGATTCTGGAATCAAAATAGAATGTTTCATCTAAAAAAATTAATGCGATCTTGATCTGATTTTGGCGACACTAAGTCAGACTGATATAATCAGTAAATAGATCTTTTTAAATTCTACAACTTTTGTTTGAAACATTTTTTTGAAAAGCGTCATCCTTCCGAGAAATCCCAAATCCCGGCCTTTTTTTAACATCGTGTGTGTGTGTGCGCGCGCGCGCGCGCGCACACACACATTTTTTATATAAAATTATAAAAATATGAAGAGAATTAAAAATGTGCATGCATTAATATCCTTTATGTACTTTATCATCTCAGCTTCCATTCGTTGTGATAGGAGCTCTAGCACCTCTGAACTGCCACCAGTTCGAGCATCATTGTAAGCTCTTTGTACCCTAGCCAAATCTTGATTTGCTCTGTTGGAATTAAAAATGATAATATTTAAACATGAGAGAGAACAGATTCTATATATTATATTTAAAAATTATAGAATCAATTATTTGCTTACTTTAAAAATTTGTCCAGGATAACTCTGTAACCCAGATCTAATGCACGATGTGTAAGGAAAAAGCATTCTGTTATAAATCCGAACGAATCTGACATTGGTCGATTTTCACCCTCTGGAGTTGGTATTAAACATGTTTCCGAATTCAATCCTTTCATATGTATACCACGTTCCAGACTCTCAGTTTCATTATTTGCCTAAAAATGCGACCAGAAAGATAACTGTATGTGAGAACTGTGAGAGTGATCGATTTATGATTAATGAATCCTAGATTCGATACCAGTATCAGTGTAAGCGTGTATCAGTTTATAAATTTGATTAGAGAATCAAAATTTATGCAAAAGGAATGTAAGATAAATTGCTAAAATAAATATTTATTTAGAACTTATTTGTTTATTGCATATATTGATAAGTATATATGTATCAGTTTTATTATTTATAAAGTATTCAAACTCAGACGTATTTAAGCTGACATCTGAGACACTAAGGCTACTTTCTTTTTAGAAGTCGACACAAACATTGTTCTATACTTTTTGATAAATACATTTCAATAAATAAGATAAAACAATACTTGTGCCGATTGTCTTAAAAGAAAAATAGCCTAATTGAATATAAGTATTGTATCATATTTTTTAAAATCTTGGAAAACCAACCTCTGCACTACAGTATGTAGGATCTATCTTTGGTACTTTGGCATCATTCAATTTAGCACAAAATGGTTGACAAAGTCGTAACAGTACATTGCCCACATTCAGCATAAAACCATCCGACACGCACAGTACTCCTAGTAACCCCATCTCCATATGAGAGTTCCAAAGTTTTCCCCTATTTGCATTCGCGTGGAGGCAATTACCCAACCATTGCAAAGTCAAATGACGAACGTTCGTCGAACACCTCAACAAGGAATGGAAAACCTTGTATAGGGCTTCGCTTAAACTGTCCATCGTTGTCCATACTGTACCTTCCATGACCGTATTTGACTGTGACATTTTGAAGACAATGTATAAAACAATCGCATAGCTTAAAAAACTATTTGACTAATATCGTTGAAAAAATCGCCGTACTTGCTGTAAAGGTTTATCGAAGAGATCATATGGATCTTTAGGTGTTTTTGGTAAACAGCTTATGCTGAAGAGTGCACCCAATAATGTGTCCGAATATGCACAACCCTGATTATTTTTTGGTGTGCTATCATGAATTATCAATTTTGCCAATGGATCAATGGTAGAAAATGTATTCAACAAAACAAACCACTGTTGGCGAAAAGTAAACAGATTGCTCTGAGCTGCTTCCTTATGAATAATATCAAGAACAGGAGAAAATGATTTTGTAATTATGTCTTCTACATCGCTTTCTCTATTTGCGGCTATCAATTCTTCTACTATGCCATTAACAAATAATAATAATTCTGACTTGCATGTAGCATCATTCGTAAACAAAGCAATAAATTGGCTGTGAACCTGCAATAATTAAAATGTACAAAAATTAATAACGGCTATATTGTCAATGTATACTTTACTAATTTAACATAAATTGATGTTCTTAGGCCTATTTCTACTAATGTAGATTAACTTTAATCTGTGTTTAATTTATCTTTTATCTTTTTCAAAATTAGAAAAAGAAAGTTTTAAAAATTAGAAAAAGATATATTAGAATACATTAAACCAAGTGTGACTAAAGTTCATCTACAATAATAAAAATAAACAAATATGAACTATTATGAAATTATTGTTGTCAATCTTTAGAGGAGATAAGAAGGCCAATATAGTGACACTGAAATAATATTTTCATATAAGTCAGTATTTTGAAACAAGGAATGTAATGAATCATAATACTTTTCAAAGAGAGACAGCATACACAATGATCATTTCATCTTTATTTAACAACAAGGCTGTAACAATTTGCTATGTTACACTGTGTCATCTGTGTCTTTTGCTGAAAAGCACCTAATAAATCTTACTTAACTGAGATTTTACAGTAAGTCGATAATCAGAAGTCTTATTGTTAGCTTAATTGTACAAATTGCCTATTGGACAATTTTACAACATTAAGACTTGGAATTGTTTAGGACTTCCAACTATTATCGACTCATTGTAGAAAAAGTTGTAAGATTTAAGCTTAAGTTGCAAGGTTTAAAAAATAGACTCCCTCATCCTCTAAAGGTTAAAGAAAAGTATAATACCTCCTGATACTGAAACAAATCTGGTTCCTGTAAAGCTGTGTTGGCATTTTGCAATACAATTTGACAAGCGTTTCTTACAATTTTTTCGAGATCGTCGTTGATTTGATAGTGCTTTAAACGACAGTAGCATTCATACAGGTAGGTTATAACCTGTGTTTCAACAACATGACTATCTACATCCTGCGTTTTAGGTTTAGGATTTGGCAACATCAGACGCTCGAAGACAGCATGTTCTATCGAGTCAGCGTCAATATACACCAGAGAGTTTTGCGCACAACTATTGTTATCTCGTCGTAACGTTAAACCGAACACATGTGCCACAAGTTGATCGACTTTATCATCAAAATTCGTAGGTTTCGTCGCGTTCTCAGATTCGTCTTTAATCGCGCTCAACGATTGTTCCACGTAATCTGCACCGTTGGCTTCATTGCCAATCGCATGCTGCGAAGAGAATGATACAGCATCATTATCTGTAGAGAACAATCCAGCAAATGGATTGCCTCGTATATTGTCGCACATGTTGCAGCGTTTTTTTACAGCGAGCTTTCCGTGATAGACATGATTAAACTGCGAGCGAATCAACATGAATCAACAATCCCCATCATTTTGTTATTTGGCTTCAATGTGCCCAAACGTCACTTCTCACCGTGTCATACAATCAACACGAACCTCAATAATACTCACATTACTCGCTAGTAGTCACTAGTACTGCTTGATCATCGTTCAATTGTGCTCAATACGAGATATTCGAGTAATGAGGACTGCAAAGTGTAGCAGAGTGCAGACTGCGGAATCATAGCAATAGGTTTGTTCACGTTGAATGAAAGCCCCAAATATTTTTGCACTTAAAATGAGATAGATACATATTTTACCTTGAAAAGAGAGAAAGCGAAGATGACCTCATGGAAGGATTACATGGGCTGTGTTCCATCTAAAAGTAGTCGTTCCATGTACACGCACCGGCAGGAATGGTGTCCCCTGTTCGGCGCGTGACGCTACACACTCATACCGAAGCGCACACATACGTGTTATTGGAAACGCGGTGAAGGCGAGGAGTGCGAAGATAGGGGGCGACATTCTATCCTTAGCGCAAGGCACACGATTGAAAGAGAAAACATAATTGGACGTGATGTCGACTCGCGATGTCCTTTTGCTGTCTCGCACATTTGTTACTATAAAAACATATTGGGTCATCTAAAAAGTATCCGCGGTTTTTTGTCACTAGATGTGTGTTGATGGTCATATATCTAGTGACAAAGTACCGCGGATACTTTTTAGATGACCTAATGTAATAAAATAAATTTTAAAAAATTTGAATTTATAAAAAATAGATATACATTATATCATATTTTTTTTATTTATTTCATGTTGCAAACGCTTTGAAGCGTTTTTTAATTGATCAATTTGTAAAATTCTTTCTTCTGATTGGTCCATCAAATGCTTCAAAGTATTTATAGCGAGACTTTGACCACAGCCTGTATCAGAACCACCGGAATCATGACCGGAACAGTATAGAAACTATACAGAATCAACGGAATGTCGATTGCAGGCTATGTCGATCCGGCTATTGTTGATGGTTGAGAATTTGACAACTTCGAAGAAGAAAATTAATAATATTGGGTCATCTAAAAAGTATCCACGGTACTTTGTCACTAGATACATGACCATCAACACACATCTAGTGACAAAAAACCGCGGATACTTTTTAGATGACCCAATAATTCTTATTTTTTCAATACGACATATTCTTGTTTTATGTATACATAGTCCAACTATAATGCCAGGAATTCTTTAAATAATTCCGATATCATTCTGAAGTAATTGAAGAACTTCTCACAATCGGTCGTTTGCATTTCAGAGACTAAATTGTCACTTGCGCCTTGGAGACGCCTCATTCTTTGTGTAAACATTGATTGTATTCAGAATTTTCGTTTTCTTGTATATTTCTGCTGTTGCAATAAAACATTATATTGCATCATATAAAAAGTATCCGCGGTTTTGATGGTCAACACATCTAATGACAAAAAACCGCGGATACTTTTTAGATAACCCAATATTACCCAAATGTTTAAATGCTTTTTCCAAATTTCCCTAAACAATTCTCAAATTATACAGGGTACAGTCAACGCGATGCTACAAATGCTTTAAAGCAATTTTTGATTGGTCAATTTATAAAATTCTTTTTCCTAATTGCTCAATCAAACACTTCAAAGCATTTGTAGTGAGATTTTGACCGCAGCCATAGACATAAATAAATCAGAAATATTCAATATGTCTGCTATCTTGTCAATGGTCACACCACGTAATTCTTCCACCATGGATGACCTTATAAATCTGTTCGCGTTGCTTGCACTTTTGGCATCTCGCTTTCTCTCTTTTCAAGGCAAAATACAATATGTATCTATCTCATTTTAAGTGCAAAAATACTTGGGGATTTAATGCAACGCAAATAGACCTATTGGTATTGCACTTCTTGCACTCAGCACCTTGCGCTCTCTCTCTCTCTCTCTCTCTCTCTCTCTCTCCCCTCAATTATTAACAAATTTAGGATATTGATTAATTTATAATATTAATATAATTAATAATTATTTAAAAAATATAAATAAATTTGCTTGTTGTTTGCTTTATTTTTATATATTTTTTCGCATATTATAAGTCATAATATTTACTTATTTTTTAATCTGAATTATTGATAAATGGTCTGTTTCCTGTTCCTGCACTAAACTGCTCTAGAACTCTCTTTCTCACTTTTGACAAATATCAAACGTATAACTATCTCACTTTAAGTTCTAAAAGTGTACATTAAGTTCAACTACAGACCTAAGCTTTCTTGCAGTAAATGTGATTAATTTTTATCTTTGGGTTTTAGCCAATCGCATTTGTCAGTAAGAGATTGTGGTATTAAATACGTTAACCAATAGAAAAACGTATTTCCTAGGAATTTTTTATTGTTCTTTAACCTATATTTTAACCTTTTTTTCGCTTGACAGCGATTTGATCATTTGATATTTCTAGAATTTTAGGTTATATTGAATTAGAATTAGGTTATGTTAGGTTCTATGTTACGGGATTAATGATTACGTTTTTACATGCTATAAATTATAAAATAATACAATTTCAAGTGCGCGTAAACATGTTGTTGTTAAAACGTGGATGTGAGGTGAACTTTACACAAAGTTTGCCAAAAACGCTGAGGTTTCTCGCAATGTATTCAAGCGCCTCGGAACCAAATCAACGGGAACGTTGGTATTGGTTATGTATTCTAATTTGTTGTGTTAGAAACGAAATAATACATAAGTATACTTGTCTCTATTTTCAGAATTTCGAGTACTGGAACTGTACCCGCGAAAAAAGAATTTCATACAGGAGAAGCGAAAAGTACAACATATAAATATTCCACCGCCTAGGACAAAGGAGATGCCTGTTGACCAGGACTGGCCGTCGATCTGGCCAGGTGCGCGAACCTTTCATCCTGCTTCGGTACCTCTTCCATTGCGCCAAGGATACCAGGAAAAGGATGTACCACCCAATAAATACGCAAATACCGAATTAATGAAAATACCAAATTTCTTACATCTTACACCACCGGCGATACAAAGGCATTGCGAAGCGTTGAAACAGTTCTGTACAGAGTGGCCCGCCGGTTTGGAAACAGAGGAGAAATGCATGAAACATTTCCCCATCGAGATCATTACATCTGATTATTGCTACTCTTCACCCACCATAAGAGATCCACTCGCTAGGATTGTAAGTCTACGAATAAGGATGTCCTCACTTCATTTAGATACTCATGCCAAAGATAAGCTGCTGCGATTACTGGGAAACAAGTACAATCCAGACACAGATATGATAACAATTACAGTTGATAGATGTCCAACCAAAAAGCAAAACTTGGAATATGTACGGTATCTACTTACAGCAGTTTATCACGAATCTTGGGTAAGTAATAGCTGAATATAAGTTAATAAGTAATAGCTATATAAGTACATCAAATTACTTCCATTATATGTAATTCACAAATTTAGCGAGTAAAGTTTCAAGAGTAAAACTTGAGACAATTAAAAAACAGGCAATGGAAACAGAATTACAAATTTCAACTTGAATACCATATATTCTCTGATATAAATGGTTTCTAATAGGTTGAAATCTATTATTTCCTATTCCTATTACTAGTATTTTTGAATTATGTCTTAAGCTTAACTTGAGATCTTATTTACAGAGGATAGAACCATGGGAAGCCGAGAAATCAGAGGCAGACATGGAGTATTATGATTGGGACACCAGCCCGAGTCGTACACACTTAGTAACGCTGTACAAATGGCCAGAACCACCGACGGATTATGATTACGAGACCATTCCGCACGCAACGGAATACAAAATTGCCGTTTCAGATCTTATAAACAACGGCGAAGATCAGTACTCGGTCAATAAGTACAAGGAAGCTGTTAAAAATTTGTTAAACCTCAAGTGCGATAATAAAGATTAAATTTTGAGTAAAATTGAACTATATCACGAAAAGCTAAATTAATTTTAACTAGCATTATCTATTTCTCCGTAATTTCCGTAAACGGTATCCTATTTGAAAAATCAATTTGCCGTGTATAATTTTACGCTCGTTACCCATCAAGACTAATGTCAACATAGCAAGATTGAAATTGCGCTATTCATAACAATACTCGAATTTACTATAATTTGAATAAGACGCGAACAACTAGAGCGTACAAAGAGTCAACCAGAAACGCTCGTTGTTATCTCTTTCTCGGTATTTATATATTCGTCGAACACAATCGAGTCTTCATATCTTCGAAATGTGAAATAGAAATTTTAACGACATATATCGCGAACATTACCGATTGTTTTTCTTTTGCGCTTTATAACGATATAGTGTCATTCTTAATTTATTGAGGATCTTGTCTCATGTATAGTAACACGCATAAAAAGTAACAAAAGTTTAAATAGCCATCTGAACATAAAATGTTGAAGATTACATTGCTTCTTAGTGCGTTCGACATTATTCGATGCGAGATGCAGACAACAAAATTAGAAAGGACTGTAACCGAAGCACCGTCTTGTAGTAATCCGCCCCAGTATAATTTACCGGATACGTACAAGACAGAGCTGAAGAGCATATCGTTTCTACCTTATCTGAATTCTCCGAATATACGCAAACAACAATCGATTCAACGCAGTTATGGTGGGTTTGGCTCGTCCGCACCGGCTTATTACCAGTAAGTTTTTCTTGAAATAATCATATCAAATCCTCTTCTTTCATTGCAAGGATAGTTTGTCGATAATAAAGTGTATTTTAGCGCTTTTGATCCCATCAGCGTATTAGCGTCATTGGCGTTCTTGGCATTTTTGTTACAATCATTTGCCACGCTTTTTGAACGTTCGAGATCAATCTTACCGACGATAATTAGTGGCAGACAGTCGGCCGTAGACTTGAAAGTTCCAGAGATTCCAAAACACGTGTCACATGCCTTGCGGGAATATGTGAGTATTCCAAGTTGAATGATAGCTGAATAATAAATAATAAAAATATAATACATAATACATTGAACGTGATATTTTTAGGAAAATCTCAATGATGATTTCAAGAAGAAGTAATTAATAATAATTTTTTGTATAAAGTAATATTTATCGTTTTTCGAGCGATTTTTATAAATTTACATAAATAATTTATTTTTTCTTACGGATACATCAAGTAATCGATATTCTCCATACAGCAAAAAGCTTGTCAAGATATATAAAGTAATTTAATTTATATTTTCACTTGTGTGATGTAAATCTTTAAATATAAGTTTAATATACAAAGCATTTTAATAGTAAAAATGCCTCTCTCTCTTTTTCTGTCTTTGGCAGATTATATATAGCTTTGCATTAATTATATAATATACTTTTCGAAAACAATAACGAAATATAGATCACAATTGTTGAACAGTATCTTGTTTTATTTATGCATCAGTGTTGAATAAAAGAAAATAAGTCATGTATATATATATAAATGCATGATATAGTTCACAAATTATAAAATTTGTCATTTCATTTCCTAAACATATACTTACAGAAAAAGAGAGAAAGATATTGCTTGCACAACTATATATTTTTTTTCTGCTAAATTAAGCTTAAAAAAATATAGGTAACATTAAAAGAAGTCATTTTATTAGAATACTCGACTTTACTCTTTAAGCATGTAGTCAATATTATCTACTATTTAAAATCTTGCATCTATGTAAAAAAGTCTTCTTAAAAGTCTTACTACTTAACAATATTTGTAAGATCACTATCTCTTCAATCTTGCGTCCAGGTATCAAATTTTTGTCTAATTACCATGGAACTCTAGTAGATGGTGGAGCAGGAGTGGGTCTATAATATAAACAAGAAATAATATACATATGATACATACTTAATATTTTCATAAAGATCGAAAAAAATTTAGATAATATTAGATATCCTCTCTGATATTAGATATTCTCTCTCTCTACTTACTTTTTCCCAACAATTGATTTTTGATACGGATGGGTTGTCATAAGACCGCGCCTCTCTTTATTACGTATTGCCTTGAATGCCACGTCTGTCTTTTCCTCGATACTATTATGTTGGGAAAGAGATGACAAATTAGCAGTATTGCTCTTTAATTTATTTAGAATGGCGACACTTTTTGCACTCATTTGTATAGGCCTCTGCAGTTTGTTCTCCTTATCTCGACCAGTACTCTGTACTTTGTTATTCATTACTAGCTTTTTCGTCTGTTTGAAAGGTGTACTGCTGTTTTCACTATTTTTGTCAGATAATACACGTTTCCTGATTATGTTCTTTGCATCAGTTCGTGGAGATGCTTGCACTGATTCATCTTTCAGCAAGAATTTATTTTCATGACTTCCGCTGCTTAAATTACTTCCGTTGCTTAAATTAGAAATATTGCTGTCGATATTATTCTCACTCATAGCAGCATCGAAGGTACAGTTCAAAATATTCATATTTGTATTTGGTTCTTCATCATCCATCTCCGCGATTGCTGGCATTGAATTATTTAATGGGTCTATTCCATTTGTACTCAAACACGTAAACATGTTGAAATCGTCCACTTTGTTTGCCTCGTCCGTATCAGACCATTTGATATTTCGAAAACCTTCAAGCAACTTAATTAATTCTTTAAATTCTCCTTGCATTTTATCAGTCATTGTACCGAAGCCTTTCACCATATTATAATAATTCTGTAATGTATTACTCATACTCTTTGTTATAGTGTTAATCGATTGCCTTTCGTTTTGCAGAACACTGCTGAGTTTCTTCATGTGCTGTTGCATACTGGGAATCCAGCATGTCTCGATGCTGAAAATTTCCAAAGACAGTTTACTCTGCAGATTTTCATCGAGAGGTTTAGCTTTTGTCTCTTGTATTGCTGTTTCAATCGAACATAATTCCTGCCATGCTTCTTGCATTTGCGCTTTAAGGGCCTTTCGCTGCCGCTGAAAATGTTGTAAAGATTTATTAATGCGCAACTTTCCACTAGCATTTCGTTCTTCCTGTGACAAGATGTCACTGGCTGCCGTTAGATTGTGTAGTCTCTCATCTGCGTCTTTCTTATAGAGTATCCTGCAAGCCAAAATCTTATCAGCGCTCTCCAAACTCAGTATCTTTTCTATTAAATTCTTCTTCTTTTCGTGCAATTTTATTAGCTTGTTATATGCATCCAACATAACGACAGTTGGTTTGCTCTCAATCGGTTGCGGTGTTCCATTCTCATAAGCTGCCAATTTCGATTTCAAAATATCTATTTCCTTCTTCTGTTCCTCCACTATCTTGATGTAACCAGCAACATGTGTTTCACAAGATACATTCTTCTTAGCATACGATTTGATTTTCTTTGCTCGATTCGCATATCTTAAAGTATTATGTGTATCTTCATAAGTACTGCTACCAGGGGCGATATTAGCTATCATAACAGTGTGACAATTACCGCCAAGTGAATCCTTTAATAGCCTCGTAAGTTTAGAGTCTCTATATGGAATATATTTTATACCATCTGCTAGATTATTTATACAATTCCCAAGAGCCAATAAGGATTTATTGATATTAGCGCCTTCCTTAAATCTTACACCTTTACATCCAGTAGCCGAAGCTCTTTCAGATCCCGCCAAATCGATCATGGACAATTTGACTCGCTGCACCTGACTGTCTAGCTTATTGATTATCTTGATGTATACCTGGAAAACTGCATGACTTCTACTGCTTTCCTTGTTTGCATCCGTTGGATGCTGAGTGCGATTCTTATTACCCTCTGCCAACAGTGATAACAATTCCTCAGCGTTTTGAATAGCGATAGGTTCTAATCCAGCGACTACAACTCCACATCTACCATCTTCTCTCAGGTGCAATTGGCCTGATTTGTGCAACAAATCTTGTACGTTCTCGTTATATATTTCCAGATAAGACACACCCAAGGTAAATTCACGATGTTTGCTCTGATTCTCAATCTCAGAGAAGAGTTCTGCCACAGTGTGATACGTAATACCAGGATCTTCCCTGTTACCCAGCATCGTATGAGTTTTCCCAGCACCGGTAGCACCATAGGCAAATACAGAGCAATTGTAGCCATCCAGGAGACTGTTGATCAATCTCTTGGTGCTTCCCTCGAACACGTCGGTATTTGTTGATGTCGAATCAAAGACTCTGTCAAAGATAAATTGTAGTTGCTTGTTCTGTTTCTTCAGCATGTCCCTACCCTTCTGCGCCACATTGTGGAAAAAGAAGGGCGTCTCATGTTCCTTCGGGTCGAAGATCAACATTTTGTCATCGACAACCTCGATAATCGTTCTGCTGTTATCTTGCAGCTCACGTTCATTAGGCGGACGAACTCGCACGATCACCTTAATTGATATTTCGGAGGTATCCTCCGTTTTCATTGTGGAACCGCTTGTGCTCGGCTTGACCGATCCGTTGGCCGACAACTGTCTCTTGAGTCCCACTTTTTTGGCTTTGGACGGCGAGAATGCTTTGCCCAGATCCTTCTTATTAAAAACCATCATTAGTAGACTATGACCGTTCGAGTTTGACTAATTTGCGATCCTCACAGTATCATAGCGCGTAATTTAGAGAGCAAAGGAACAGACGTCACTCACGTTGCTCTTCTCACATCGTGACATCGCCCGACGCCACGCCACGCCACGAAAATTTTCGGGCGTTTCGTCTATAGTTAATTACACAATCGTTACTCGACGTACGTTGAGCTCGCTCGGTCGGAGGCAAGTTTCTTTCGTCGCAAAGGTGGAAGAAAATCGTGTCAAAAACACGGAGCTAACAAATAAACGCTCGTCACCGAAGAACACGAAGAGCCGTTTGGCGTTACGTTAAGTTTTGAATTTTAAACGCCGACAATCGAGCGCAGGCGCGCAAATCGCCAGACGATCAAAATTACTAGGGGAAATGATATCGTCGATTTTCCTCAGGCTCGGTTTCCAACAAGTCATGATTACGCATTAGGGCCAGTCCACACAAACTTGCATAGTCGCATAATCGTGTATGCATAAAGAAAATTATTCAATCACATTTCTGTCATAAAGACAAACGTAAAATACGATTGGATGATTTTTTTTATGCAATAACAATATTTATATTAGGGCTATGTTCCAAAACTTCCGAGGAAAATTTACTCGAAATATATAGTACATGTAACATATATTATAGCATATAGAATAAAATCTTCCTCGGAGAAATTTTTAGAACGTAGGACTCTCGAATTTTAAACAATACAAAAACATAAATATGATAAACTAATGAGAGTCAGCAACGATAAACGGCGCAATTATTTAGTGAATCAACAACCCTTGAATGAACAATCAACCCTTAGTATTGGATTGATGTCTTCTTTATTTCGAACATTTCGACTCTCTTTGGAGTCCTCCTCAGCATTTTCTTTACGTATATGCAAGTTGTGTGGAATGGCTCTTACATCCAAAATTACATGGAAAACTGCAACATGGAAAATGCAACATCTGTACACACTGAGTGCAATTGATTAATAAATAAATTCATCTTTAGTGTTAATAAATAATTTAACCCTTTTTACTACATAGTTTTTGATATCCCATAACTTTAAAAGGTTTAAATTATTTATTAACACTGAAAATATGTAAATCGATTTGCACTCAATTGCATCAGTGTTGCATAATTTTCCTAGTAGAGAGCACTGAGTGCAAAAAGTGCAATCTATGCGAATAATAAATCTATTGGTCTAGATTGGTCTAGATTATTTGCGCGTGACGCGTGATTCTATACATTCATTGTTGGTCATTGAGCTCATTCTCTAATGACGTCTTAGAGCGTCAGGTGCTCCGAAGATTACACGTGTTTACGTTAGTTTGTGCACGTTGCGACTACATGTGATAACATTAAGCGACAGCTTCAACAACGCATACATCTGAGTCGATGTTTTGTTTTGCGAGGTTTAGGCACATCGATTAACTCCGGAAAAAAAGAGAATCGTATCTGTATTACGTAAATCGCAATATATAAGGTATACAGAATCTTCGCACGACACATCAAACTCAAGAACGCTGTCGGTCGCACGTACTTGTTTTGAGTGTCTTTAACCTATAAGAGATCGAAGATGTGCTGGAAAAGCGGGGGCGAAGAGGAATATTAGCACGAGGAACGGTGCCGGAGCGCGGCGATATTTTGAGATAGGATGGTCTTGCAAAAAATCAGCTATGACTTCGTTAAAAGTTTCCGGCATGTGCATGCTAGAACAAGCGAGTCTTGCGGCAACAAGAGCTTTCAGCGATTGTATATGGCATTACCACGGCTCACGCCGCAAGAGGTATATTTTAATTTAATCCTTAGTATACACGATAATTTTCTAGTCCTTCATTGCTCACGTTTGTATCCTGGATTAATTTTCATTGCTTTTACAAAATTATTATATTTTTCTTATACAAAAATTATTATATTTTTCTTACATAAACTTTAACATTTTTAAAGAAAATATTTATAAAGTTATATATTTAAAATAAGAAAGAATAGAGATAATTATCATTTATTGATAATTATTTCACTAGATGCTTTTAGCATTTTAAAGAAAAGATATATACAGAATACAAATAATTCAATTGTGAATGTTTTCCAGCAAAGATACAGTCAGACACTGTATAACACAGTATACCTTCCAACAAGTGACACAGTACAACACAGTAATCATCTCATCTTTGTTTAACATTGGCAAACAGCAAGGTGTGATGATCTATTGTGTCTGTTGTATTTATGTCGCTTGTTGGAAGGCATACACAATGAATCGTTTCATCTTTGTTTAACATAGGCAAGGATATAATGATTCACAATGTTACATTATCTGACTGTGTCCTTGCTGGAAAACATCCTGTGATTCATCTCTTCTCTATGGATATATTATGCATACTATCGTTACTATTTCGTTGCAGGTCACGAACGTCTTACAAGCCAATGAGTATACCAAAGAATTTTCTGGTACAGGATCTATAAAATATTATGACTCTAATCAATTGGCATCTAATAATCCTATAGAAGATACAAGATCGGAGGCTCAATGTTTACTAACTAAAGGTACAGAGGTCAAACTATGAACTTTATTCTGTAACTCTTTAACAAAAGTGTCAATGTCACTGTTACATTAGATCTATTTTTTTTATAGCTAAATTAGTATATACTCTTTGTACAATAAATTAAATATACGTTTGATATTTAGCAAAAAGAAGGAAAAATTTAGTTGCCATCCAATGCAGCAATAAAAAAATTAACTCGTTGCGCAGATTTTATACATAATAGAAAAACTATGCAATATTATATTATATGTTGAAAGTTAAAATTAATTTTTTCTTGCTGAAATTGACTTTGTCGACTAGTTGATAAAAAATAATACTAATGACATAGATAAATGGTATTAGGCATTAAAATTCAAGGATTTTTTAGTTTTATCTCTACAGATACATTGTTTCCAATTTTATCTATTTGCAGGTGTATTATTGGGAGTTTTTGATGGTCATGGTGGTAGTGCCTGTGCACAAGTAGTATCGAAAAGATTGTTTCATTATATATCGGCATGTCTGTTACCATCAAAATTATTGGAACAATATTCGAATTCTATTAATACTGATAAACAAATTAATTTACTCGAGACTTTCAATGATAAAATAGAATTTGTAGCCGAAATCAGAGATCTCTATCAAACAAGTTTCTTAAATTTTATAAAAGACTTGATACAATCAGATACCAGAAAAAAATTTCAAATGGAAAAGGCTTTGGAAAATGCGTTTCTCAGATTAGATAACGATCTATCAAACGAAGCTCTGTTACAATTAAATAAGAAAGATGCTGCAAAAACTCTCGCTGTCGCAATGTCGGGTACAGTTGCTGCTGTTGCGCACATAGATGGCCCTCATCTTCATGTCGCTAGTGTTGGTGATTGTAAGGCTGTCCTAGGAGTACTCTCAGGTTTGTCTTTTCATTATCTTATCTCATTGTATTTAATATTAATTAAAAATAAAACAATTGTAATAAAAGACTGTAGGAGTCAACGCAGTTATCAGTGCGATTATCTTATATTTATTAAAATTATTATATAAACCTTGATGATGTCAATGAGCGCAACAATAATATAATACGATTTGAAGATGACTCAAAGATAAATCGAAATCAAAATCGTATTATATTATTGTTGCGCTCATTGACATCATCAAGGTTTATATAATAATTTTAATAAATATAAGATAATCGCACTGATAACTGCACTGATAACGTTGACTCCTACAGCCTTTTATTACAATTGTTTTATTTTAAATTTGTGGACTACTTTCTGTTGTTAATTAATTAAAAGGAGAGATAAGAGAGAGAGAGAGAGAGAGAGAGAGAGAGAGAGAGAGAGAAAGGAGAGAGATATGACTGTACTAATAAGTCCTGTATTAATTTCATTTAGAAAACAATGGATGGTCGGCTAAAATGATGACGATTGAGCATAACGCTGATAATCGCACGGAGGTAGAGAGAATCTTATCGGAGCATCCACCAAATGAAAGATCGACTGTGATTAAAATGGAAAGACTACTTGGGCAACTAGCGCCACTTCGCTCATTAGGTGATTTTCGCTACAAGTGGACTAAGAATATTATGAAGGAAGTCGTGGTACCATTCCTCGGCGAGACGGCAATTCCTCCAAATTATCATACACCACCCTATTTAAGCGCTAATCCGGAGGTTAAATATCATAGACTGACGCCGAGGGATAAATTTCTTATATTAGCTAGTGACGGACTATGGGACCTGATTTCACCATTACAAGCAGTACGCTTGGTAGGAGAACATATGAGTGGAAAAGTTACGCTCAGTCCATTCAGATTACCTCGTAAAAATATGAAATTGTCGGACATAAATGAAATGTTGTTGCAACGCAAGGAGGGCTTGAAGAAAAAACCTCTTGATAGCAATGCAGCGACGCATTTACTGAGAAACGCTTTAGGTGGTACAGAATATGGAATAGACGATGCCAAATTGTCGCAATTGTTGACTCTGCCAAACGAAGTGGTTCGAATATTTCGTGACGACATCACCATAACGATCGTTTATATGGATTCAGAATTTTTAAGACATTGTCCTCCCTAAAACTGTCGCAATTTCTCACTATTTTTTGATACTGGTGTGTATCAGTATATAGCTTGTTATTTATTTAGTTAACAATAAAAACAATTTACATGAAAACAGTATTCTGAATATCAGTAATATGTATGTAATATGTTACATAACACTCGCGTTACTCCATCGATTTCAGTTAGCGAAATGTTTTTTAATTGGCTAACATACGATTCGATTCCGATTCTCTATGAATAATTCCGTGTTAAGCCCACTTGAATTATAATCGAGATATTCGGATAGTAATACACAAGAATGTTTGAAACTATAATCAAAAGTGATTAGGAAGTAGCTATATAAAATCTATGATTTTACAATTAATTTGTTAGGTACTTATTATAGTGATTACAATAGTGATGCATTAAACACAGAGTCATGCCATATACCTCGTAAATGTATCACCAACATTTTTCCTACTTTGCACTTTATGATAAAAAATAATCAACCTCTTGTTTGACTGCTTGATAAAAGTCTAAGATTTTTTTTTATCTCAAAATATACGGTTTGTTTCTTAAGTGTCATTTTTTACTAAATAAATAAGCAATAAGCTTATGTAATAATAAATTGTAATAATTGTTACACTTAAAAAAAGAAGAGATCTAAAGAGGAGACGAGGGAAAAAAACTCGTTTCCAAATATAACATATTTATACAGATATTATCAAGCGAGTATCATAAGAGGAATAAGGCAAGCAAGTATAACTAAAAATATTCGTTGAATTATAAATCTGTTTACTTAGTTACGAGAGAGTTCGAAAGACTCTCTCAACCCTCTTGACCAAAATCTTCCTTAAATTTCTCTAATTTTGTCAAATCTTCTTCATTCACTGTAGGACGGGTCGTTGCTAGTGATTTCAACATATCTTTCTATAAAATGATAATAATATATATCAGATAAAAACACTTCTCATATATAACACACATACATAAACATAAAAAAATAATATAACTAAAGATCTATGCACAATGGAGGAAATATCAGGAACAAGTAGAAATATTAGGTTCAGTTTTTCATTACCTAGTTAAATTGTGGTCAGGCTAAACCGAGCCTAAATATAAAAGAAATAAAAAAAATTAAGAATAGAATTTTATGTCATTTTATTTATATCTATTGTGCATTACGTTTAATCTCTATTTCTAATTTTTTAATTTCTCTAATATTTAATTGATTCCTGTTCCTAATATTTCTTTCAATGTAGGCAGGACCTAAAAAACAAGTATTTTCTATAAATTTTACCATGGTAACTGATGGCTCGAACAATTTATCACCATCTACTTCCATCCAATTCATTTCTATGGCAGCCGGATCACCAGGGGAGCATGGAGTAAGTAAATCGTCAACGATAACATTAGGATCCTTAGGCGACGGTCCTTTAACCCGCTTAAAGTGTGTAGCTGTTTGCACTTGTCGAATCGGCTGCATTAGAGCGTCTCGTACAATGATGCTTATATCGGCTCCCGAATAACCATCGGTAGAAGCCGCTAACTTCTTAAAATCTTCTTCCGTCAAACAATGTGATGTATTACCCAAATGGAGCTTGAACATAGCAGAGCGCGCCTGTTTTTCGGGCAACGGAATGTAAATTCTTTTTTCAAATCTTCGTCTAATTGCAGAATCCAAGACCCAAGGTATGTTCGTGGCACCCAGCACAAGTATATTCTCGTTATTGTCAGAAAAACATTAGTCCAACTGTATTTTGTGTTTAATTTGACAAAAACACAAAATAGATAAATATTTGAAAACATACCTTGCATCTGAACTAGAAATTCTGTTTTTATTCTCCTTGCGGATTCTGACTCATTATCTGATCGCGACGAACAGAGAGAATCTATTTCATCAATAAATATAATGCTACGTTCCTTTTGTCGTGCTAATTCAAACAGATTTTTTACAAGCTTCTCTGACTCTCCTAACCATTTGCTTACTAAATCCGACGATGACGCAGAGAAGAAAGTAGCTTGATTAGCTTCTGTTGCCACTGCCTTCGCCAAATATGATTTACCGGTTCCTGGTGGCTAAATAGCAAATTAAAAATTAAGAATATATCTCGAGTAAAAATAAATAATTAAGTATAATTAAGTATAATTAAGTATAATTAAGTTCGTCGTATTTAAAATTGCTTACCCCAAATAATAAAATACCTTTCCAAGGTATGCGTCTGCCAGTAAAGAGATAAGGAAAGTGCATAGGTAGAATAACAGCTTCTTTTAAAGCTTCTATGGCTCCATCGAGACCAATGACATCGCTCCACTTAACGTTTGTGTTTTCGTTAATTATAACGCCTTCCAATTTGCTTTGCAATTTCTTCTTTTCAGGATCACTGTCAACGTCACTGTCACCACTGTCGCTCTTTTTATCCTCATTCTTGGAGTTGTCTGCTCCAGCCTTAACTGGCTTTTTCTTATTCTTCTTCAAGTATTCTTTTAGTTTTTCTGCTCTTTCTAAATATTGCATACATTTTGCTCTTATGCTTTCCTTCACCTTGTCTCCATGCGTCTCGTCTGAAATACATTATCAAATCAATTATGTTAATTTTAAATATTTATATACAATACAATTAGTTCATTAACACAATAACACAATAAATTATTAAACTTGTATATCATGTTTACTTAGGGCCTTTTTCACTCCCGATTAATGTTAATCAATGATTAACTCAATCACTATCAATGTGAGAACTAAATGCAGAAGAAGAAGAGAGAAAAGATATTCTAGACACATTAAACTGCTGTTGACACTTCTAGGAGTTGAACATCGATTAATTTAATCAGAAATTGGTGAAAGAGGCCCTTATTATTAAATATTAATTACTTGGTATTGGACATACATTTGATTGAATGCAAGAAGTATTCAACACCATGCTCATATAATCTGAGAGCTTCCTCGTAGTTTTTATTGCGATCCTCTTCTGTAGCCTTTGTCACAAGATCTATGGCCTTCTGTAAAATTGATTACTCAGTAATTTTGTTGATATCTCATCTTCTTCTAATTTTGTAAATGTTTACCTGTAGTATCGCCGAAGCCATGCTCAGTTTCTTCTCAAGATGTTGAGAAGTTGAATATACAATACAGGCTGTTCGTGCCTGTTAAGCTACCAAAAGGATTCGTCAATTAGTAACCTTCAAAATCAAAAGTTAAACGTCGTTTATCACTTCGGTTACTCCGTTATCGTAGCTATCAACAATGCAATTTTCGCAAAAATATCGATGCCATCGCGACAAATCTTTTGATTTGACTGAGCATCCCAATTTTCGTCAAGCAGTACACGAAATGATCTCCCATAATATCAAATCTTTTCACTCGCTGTCACTCGCTAAAATTCTGTAATTATGCGACAAAACTGAGACCGCGTACCGCATTGTTGGCGACGATGCCAAAATAACGCAATGCAACTTATTGCACAGCTAATTCAGACATTTCACAAGACACATACGATACATACGAATCTTCCTGGAATATTGTTGATATTGTTGTCACTGTAAAATTCAGGATGCCTTCAAGCAAGTCTGCAAACTCGCCGTCATTTTAGCTTTAGCTTACTCCTCGGAATCTTCGGATGTTCCGTCGAATACCTGGAAATCGATGCATTTAACCTCGCTTCGTTATTGGCTGTATAACATAGGGGTTAATCACCGCGAAATAAATGGACGAATGAAAATGCGAAACAGTCGTCTACAAATTTCCTTCCTCTCGAAAATATCTAGAGCAGCGAGACGTCATAGGCCTGTTCTTTTCGGCTAAATTTTTGCACCAATTCATCTTTCTTCTTCTTTTTTCTTCCTGGAGAGAAAAGGAAAAAAGATGAACTGGTGCAACAGTTTAACCAAAAGCATTGTTCGTTTTGTCTCTCGGGAGCTGCTCCGAACGAACCCAGCATATATATTGTACAATACTTTGGCTATGTTCCAAAACTTCCTCTTTGAGGAAAATTTATTCGAAATATATGTATATACATGTGACGTATACTATAGCATATAGAGTAAAATCTTCCTTGGACAGTGTTGATTTCAAAATGCAAGCTTCATATTGGCTGTCGCAATAAACTTGCGACTAATATAGAACCAGCTTAAAGATCAGGCTTCATGAAAACGCCCGAATTTTCGCCACAATGCATGCCGGAAAATAAGTATTTTGGAACGCGACGACCCCGTTCTGTTGAAGTTTTGGAACGCAGCCTACGGCGTGTCACGTGTCAAGTGCACGATTGTGGGGAGAACGACGCAGGCGCAGGATTGTGCGATTTTTAGGTTAGGAGGAAACTGGAGAAAACAGCTGATTTAGATCTTCATGTGAGGAAAACTTAGAGGTTTATCGGATCCCGGCCGCCGCGGCCATTCTTCGGGGTCAACCTTAAGAGAGACTTTGCGGGAGAAATCATCCAACGATTTAACGTTTCGCAACAGCCGACGAATCATTCGCATGATTTAAACGATGGCAGGCTCAGCGCTCAGACGACTTATGGCGGAGTACAAACGTGAGAATCGGCTTTTTAATCTCCTACATCGCAGTAACGTTAGCTCGCTCGTTAATCACGTTATTCGAGGCTTTTCCCGCGAAGCAGTAACGCCTGCACTATGACGATCTTGCAGAGCTAACCTTGAACCCGCCGGAAGGTATCATCGCCGGCCCGATTAACGAGGAAAACTTTTTCGAATGGGAGGCCCTCATCACGTAAGTTCTCTTTCAATATTTATCTCTGCAAATATCTTCCACTGTTAATTCTTGCTATTTTATATACAGCTTTCTTATCCCTTTTTTTTTGTACCTTGATTGCTTAAACCAATAGGCTTGTTTTTCTGTCATTGCATTGGACTACACTAAAAATTTTCTTTCTCGCTCTTTCGTCAAATTTCAAATATATATTTATTTTATTTAAAGTATGAGTATATATTACTTTAGTAATTAAAAAAAACCTCATATTTACTGCTGAATAAATAATACTTTCACGTGAACGTCTTCATAAATTCTTCAATAGATATGAGTTGAATATGATTCTTGATGTGTTTTCTTGATGTGATGAATTTTTAGTGGACCTGAAGGAACCTGCTTTGAAGGTGGAGTGTTTCCAGCTAAATTAATATTTCCTCCAGATTATCCATTAAGTCCTCCAAAAATGCAGTTTACCTGTGAGATGTTCCATCCCAACAGTAAGATATCGCTATTAAGCAAGATATACTTGTACTTTAGCTATTAATTGAACAGCAATACTGAAATTTTTGTCAGCTATAAATATAAAATTATATTTTTTCTTTTGTTTAGTTTATGCAGATGGAAGAGTCTGCATAAGCATATTACATGCACCTGGTGATGATCCAATGGGTTATGAAAGCAGTGCGGAAAGGTGGAGTCCAGTACAGAGTGTGGAGAAGATACTGTTGAGTGTTGTAAGTATGTTGGCTGAACCAAATGATGAGAGTGGTGCCAATGTGGATGCCGCCAAGATGTGGAGAGAAGATCGTGCGGAGTTTGAGAAGATAGCTCAAAAGTTGGTGAGAAAGACTTTGGGTATTCCACCTTAAAATAGAATCCATCTGTTAAAAGAAAGGAAAAAGAAAAAGCTCGAAAGCGGCGGGTATTATTACTTTTGTCGGTTGATGTCGATATATTTCTGTAGGAAATAATAAATTTTTATCTGTGCAGCAAATGAATCTCTTGTGTGCAAATAATTCTTCGCGCACGTTCCACTAATTATTTGCGCACGGAAATATATTGTTGTGAATTTTACACTTATAAAAGAGTAACTCTTCGATGATAGGAATCAAAAGTGTTAATCTCAAAAAATGTTTATTTTCAACATTGCAGTACAAACATGGGTAATCAAATACATACGCGATTATCTCATACGCTTACATGTACCATTTCATTGTGACAAACCGATAACGAAGGACAGGATTCGTTTCTTGTGTTCGGGTGCGTGATTGACGTTAAGTATAATATATATTAGTATTTAAAATTATCAACTGATCCCACAAATTATCCTACGGCGATGTTAAAGTAATTATCACATTCGCATATGGTGTTATATTATTCACATGTAAATGTATATCGGCGAAAACGCATTATCAACTAATGTGTTTGAATATCTTTTAATATTTAAAGAGAGAAATACAGATTAAATAAATATATTCATAGTATTTCTTTTTTTTTTACAAAGATGTATGTAATAGAAATAAGCGGAATAGTGGTTCTTTCACTGAAAAATCATCTTTAGAAGATTCATAAGTTTGTCAAAACGAAACAGCGAATAAACTAAATTGTTCTCGCGGTCAGTTATAAGCCACGGCAGTGTCGCTGCGCGTAGCTTAGCGCCGAGATACTACCAGTGTCTCCAGATTTTTTTATATTTACGAAATCACGTGAGTACCGATCGAGAGACCGTCGGCATAATCCTGATAGAAGTTCCGGAACGTGTATTGCCGCATCGTATTTACAAAATTAAGAAGTCCGCACAGCAGATTGATTATCGTGCACATCCCGCTCTGATAACAATCGAACTTGGTGACAAAGACGTGCAGGGTGTCCCACTTAAAGCGTCCCAGTCCGAGTAGCCGAACGATTGATTTAAAAGAAACAGCTTCCTTTTAATTTTAGAGATAATTAAAATTGTTTTTAATTAAAATCTTTTTTCAACAAAAAAAATCTACTACTTTTTTTTCATTGTTAGTATCCCCTCGCAGATATGACTCCGAGTTGCTTTACGCAAAACACCCTGTAATTAGACTAGAAGAAATAAATTAGTACACCTCGTCGCGTATACAATAGATGATCTTTGCGATCGAATTGCAAGTATGATTTCAAGGATCAGACAAGTCCATTCTTCGAAATTATCAACTCTTCATCGAATATTCATTTATTTCATTGAGCTTTATCAATGAGCTTTTTCATTGAGCTTAACCATCTGGATAATATGTTTAAACATTGAAAGTGTATGCAAATCAAAAGAGCATTTGGTCAATTTGACAAGGCTCGAAATATCTAATAATTCAAAGATTAATTTTTCTTTACTTTAAATCGAAAAAGTGAACTTGTTTGTTCCTCAGATCTTTGCAAATTATACCTTCTCACTCTCGCCTTTTTTTTTGCTTGGATTAAAATCATCAGTAAGAATAAATACAAGATTTCGCACGTGAATTGGTATTTTATTAATAAACAATACTGAAGTCCAACTAAAAAATGCAGTATTTGTGACTAGCATTTGGCAATTATATGTAAATAATAAGATTTTAATGTACTTGTTTCGTACAGCCGAAGTACAACATCTTGTACACTCTTTTAACCCTAGGACACTATCTGTACATGTATCTCTGAGACATACGCGTATTGGGTTTTTCTATTGGATTTCCGAAGAAGATTTTAACTTTTTAATATTTTCCGAAAATCAAATTTTTTCAATTCTAAAATTATAGTAACATTTTAATAGATAAAAAAATTAAGTCGAATAAATTTTCGCATATTCTTTTTTTGCATTTTCCTCAAATATATGCAATCTCAGAGAAGTATGATTATAAACAACTATGGAAAAGAAGAGTTAGCCTTGTAGGGTTAATTATAATTCTTTGATCCCTTTTCTTATATATATAATCCCTAAATAATTTCTGTGCCAAATTTTCCAAATATATATATACATACAAATACCTAAAAACATAATTTATAAACAATCGTGTAAAAATCTTTGTACGCAAAATTACGTCTTTAACACCGAACGAAAATACACAGATGTTGTACTCTGGGTACAGCTGCATACTTTGGCATACGAGAGAGGATGCATTTTACATTCTGTGCCAAGCGATAGTAACACCGATCGATATCGAATCTTTATCGAAATTCGATCGCGCCTCCGAACGAATCTGCCACATTTTTCACAACCAGGATCGGAAGCTTCATTTTATTTGCAAGGTATCACGTCGATATTACGCTTTAAAGATTCATTGCGAGTTAGTCGTGAAATCGAGAGCAAAGTACGCAACAGTGCCGGGACAGTCTGTATATGAACGCTCGACTCGTTTAACGTTTGCAGTGTTTCGCTTGTCGCGAGACGGGTCTAATATCGTGGCCGTCCGTTTATCAGTAATATCACATTTCGCTAGAAGAAGTGTACATTCAAAAGCAATCACTCCTTACAGCGCCGCGCGTATTTGCGCACAACGTCGACGAAAATGTTACAAATATACAAAAACGTTTGACACATACACTTCCTGTCGCCTAATCACGCAATAAACAATCGGAGACGGAGACTTGAGCTACTTTTATGAGCCTCTTCTAGGCTGCGAACGTGCCGTATTTTGCGCTAAACTCGAGCTTCATTATTCGTCTTTAAAATCTCGATTGATTATTTTAGGAAATGCCATACTTTGATTATTTGCACTTGGCAATATTCTCTTGTCCGATTATTACATTTAGCTTCGACACGTTACAGCTTTGTAGGCCTCCCGCTTGGCGCAGAACGCTACGTTTCTCTTACAATTAATTCTTAGAGCCGGTTGCATCAACTATAGCTAATGAAGACGTTGATTAATATTTTGTAATTAAATAAATTTTCATTCTCTCTCTTATCTACATACTAAGATTTACAGAGAATTAATCAAGGTACAACTAAACTCGGAGGCGACAGTACTATCATTAGCGCTAATCAGAGTTTTAACTTGAATTAATGTAAATCGATTTAAATTAAGTCAATTAATTAAGTTGACTTAGATTAAAACCAAACTAATTAAAACTTAATTAAGTCTAATTTAATTTAAATCAATTTAAATCGTTCAATTTACAACAGTTAACTAAACTTAAAACTAACATAAAAAAACAGTTAATCAAAAATTTGTCCTTTATTTCGTTATTAGCTAGAATTATCATCTGTTGTCGCGGTAATTAATTAAGCCTGTTAATGCAACTGACCCTTAAACATAATCTTATCGAATAAAACGCTCACGCTCCCTTACAACTAGAATTTCCTTGTAGTTGAAATCACACGTTTTGTCGTGTGTGTGTGCGCGCGCGCGCGCGCGCGCGTGTGTGTGTGTGTGTGTGTTTTGTGTATGTGAGATGTGTATGTGAGATGTGTGCAACTTATGCTGATGTAAATACGCTCGTTATAAAACCTTACTAATTCTGCTCTATATACGTATACCTCCCTCTGTGACTGTGAGGTATTGTGGTACCATTATTAACTATACGCACATGCCTTACAAACCCCACGCAGGACCCGCATAGTCCCCCTGGACGATCTCATTAATATTAATAGTAATCGTATTGCAAAATCTACTTGGTGGATACTGAGTACAAAATTTGTCAGTGTATACGTGTCTGTTTGCATGTGTGTCTGTGTATGCGTATTGTGTCTAAAGCGCAAAAACGGAATTTCAAGCGACACACTTTCTAGACAAACATAAATTATATTCACTTGTATCTCGAGGTAATAAATCAGTCAACGAATCACTCCTCGATATCAATAAATGTTGAAAGAATGAGAAAGGGGATCTATGTATCGATAAACGTATCTTCACGATTTTCAGCTACAAATTGCCACAGGAAGTTTTCCTTTGGAAAATCTATAGCAATACTAATGCCACGTTGTTAAGCTCTAGGGAACATTGAAATGTGAAAATTGATCGGAATAAGTATCTACTTCGAAAAAGCTTGCGGAGAAAGTTTGTGTCACTCGTTTATAATTCTTGAACGTATAATTAACAGTTTAAATAAAAAAATCATAGATATAATACAATCGAAATTAAACGAATATATTAAATTATATAAAAATATATATAGAATTGCGCGGTACCATCAAAATCCGATTAATTTCGATGAACGTTATTGCATGACACTGCTTTTTCAAAATTGTTGAGCATAAAAATAAACGCGCGATTATTCTAATCATGCATGAAAATGAAGAATATAATTTCGCATAGCACCAGTCACTAATATTTCACTACTTTTCTTTCTATTAACTAAATATTAATTAGTTTTAAATTGATTACTTAAATGAATAAGAAATCATGTAACATTTGAATTGCGCATTGCGACTTTAGCTACCCTTTATATATTGCCAGAATATTTCCTTTGGTTATATATATTTGTAAGAGTTTTTACAATCGAGATAACTTTCAATGGTTTCGCGTAATCGATTCGTAAAAGAAAAATGTAAGAATTTTTAATAAATATGATTCCACATTATTCCATGCTTTTCTCTTGTTGATTTGCTCTTCTAGCAATCAATTAATTTAAATCAACTAAATCAACTCCAAAGATAATCTGAATTATAAGAATATTCTATCTGCTAGAGGATAGCAGGAAGCACGACTGTAAAGAATAAACACTAAATATAATCTTCAACGTTACAACGAAATATTAATATTAATCTGCGTAAAATTCAACAGAAAATGGCAAGTATGGCACGCAAAAAGATTCCATTCGACTACTGCGTGTCTCTCTCTCTCTCTCTCTCTCTCTCTTTCCCCTCCTTCCTTCAATATATACGCGTGTGTGTATATTTATATATGCACTTATATGTGTACGTATAAACGAATATTTTGTGCGTGGTTTATGTCACATGTAATCTTGCCATTCGTTATAGCCATAAAAAGAAATTAGAAAGGGCTATACAGAATTTGTTTACGCTCAGTTCGATCGCGCGTCTCTTTCTTTTTGCCTTTAAAGTTGTACTGCATAAATTAACAACAGAGATGTGATCGTCAAGTAATATTTGATAGGAGATGAATAAATGATTTCGCGTCGTGAATCTCCCCTCAATTAGTCATATTGGCTATTCCGCAAACAGTTTTACTTTAGCTGCGATTCAAGCTGCACAGAATCATATCTCAAAGAAAGAAAATTATGTTATCTCAAAAGTCTCGTGTCAGCATAGTACATACACAGAATGAATATTACGATATACAATATCACGATTTTTGTTGAAATAGAATAAATTGATTTTTTATTCCTTTCCCTCGACAATCAAATCAGATTGAAACGACCATAACTTGCAGCTCTAGATATATAGTGCACACGGAAATTTCTTTATATATTCCTCTACTTTCAAGTTTAATCACAATACTCACTTTACGAATCGATACGCCGTAAATCGTCGAAGTCAAAATCACAAGCGCAAAATCATTAATCGTACATCACATCGTCGACGATGGCAAAAATTCAAATCATGAATTAAATTCCGGCAACGAAAATTTCGATTATTAGTTGTTAAATTTCTGCACATTAATGATAATTCAATTAAGCTACTGATTGTAAATTCCTTTATATTGACTAAAATTTAGTTCAGCAGCAAATGTTAAATTTTTGTACACATGGACGGCAACTATGATGTGAAATTGTGGAGCTCCACACCCAAAATTTAACTTAGTGTGGAAATCCATGAATTGGATTAAAAATCAATTGTGAATTTTTTAAAATGTGCACAGATACCGATATTCGTGATGGCAGTATAACTGCGCGCGTAGCAGAGATTCAACTTAGGGATTATTTATACTGGTCGTAATCGTGCGCCGTATGCCATAGTAATCTGTAAAAATTGACTAATCACAATCGAGCATTCCTCTCTTACAATTGAATGAGAGGGAAATACTCGACTGTGATTAGTCAATTCTTACAAATTACAGCATATGGTTACGGCCAATATAAATGATCCCTTGCCAACTGTTAGACAGAGCGTCGCAATTTGCAATTGTAAAAAAGGGGACGGCAACAAAGAGCACAAAATAAATAAAAATAAAACGTCATTTTGTACTCTTCCCTTCACTTCCTTTCGTCAGTCAAAAATTCCACATCCATAGGCGAGGTAAGTTGCCGCCCCTGTTTGTACATATATTTAATTAAACCAAGAAATTAAATTCTTATACCCTGCCAGAAACTCAAAATTAATTGAATTATAAAATAAATTGTTGTACATATACATATATGTAATAATATGTTTTATGCAGCTATAAATGAAATTCCATATTATATCCAGTCAAAATTTAATTCAGCGATCTTTTAAATTTTTGCACGTCGACAGAATTTGAATGAAAACGGCGATGTAAATTTTTACATGTTGCGAAAATTTAATTAAACTGCGAATTAAATTTACGTTAACGCCGCGAGCGACGTTCGGCGCAAATATCTCTTTGCACAGAGAGCGGAGCGGAGGAGGGAAAAGTCACACGGCTATACCTCACGAGAGACCCTGCGGTGTGAAGCAGATCTTCTCTAGTTCGCCGGTCGACGAGCTGACCGGCGATTCGGCTCGGTCGTCCTGTTCAGCCGCCAGCTGCTCGCTGTAATAATGAGGTGTGCTGAGATAGTCGATGAGTCGCCGGGGTAGCGGTAAAGTCGGGATCAAGTCCCTGCGCACCATCTTCAGGATGACGAACCTGCACGTATGCTGCAGGCTCTGCACCTGTTTGAAGCGCGACACTGGATGGAGCAGCTGTACCCGCATTGGGCCCAGAACTGGCCGTCGGTGTAGGAAGAAGAGATAGCGACCGCTGCGCGAATGCTCGACCGCGTTTTCGATAAAGTCAACGATAGTGTGCGACTTGAACTTCGTGCAACTGCCGAAGCTAAAATTACCTGTATATCGGAAGAAATGAATTTAAAGCGAGGATGAAAACAAAGATCAATTGTCTATAGTGTGAAGAATAATAAACGATTTATTAAAACCTTATATGTGAATACAACAAATAAGAGTTTAATATCTATTATAGTCGAAGCTGGATCTTAGATGCTTTTAAATAATTTCTATGTGAATTTTTATACTAAATATGTAGTTATGAACTGCGCGCCAAAATGATTTTTCGAACTTATAAACATAATTAAACTACTATAGTAATATCACAAATTAAATTGATAATTAATTTGATAATTTGATGCTCAATCTGATATATATATAATACCGCAAATTAAATTGATAAACAATTTAATAATTTGATGTTCAATCTGATATCATATTAGAAAGATGTTAATGTATTAAAAACTATAAATAAATTTATTGCGAAAGATATTCGGTCGGGAGTCGAACCCGGATCTCTTATATTCCGTACGAGCATTCTAATTTAATCTAAAAGCTTAGGACAATGTTTTTCGCAATAAATTTATTTAGTTTTTCAGTACATTAACATCTTTCTAATATCCGTGTCATATTACGCATTGGAGATTGCGAATTACAAATTAAAATTCGTCCAATCAGGTAGTTTTAATTTTAATTTATTTCATTCTAATTGGCTGAATTCTAATCCTCAATTCGCAATCCTCAGTCTTCAAAGCGTAGTGACACGGGCATAATAGGGTCTGACTGAGCAGCAAATTATCAAAATTATTATCAATTTAATTTGTGATATTACTATAGTACAATAGTTTAATTGCGTTTATAAGTCCGAAAAATAATTTCGGCGTGCAGTTCAAATAGCTACATATTTAGTATAAAAATTCAATATAGAAGTTATTTAAAAGCATCTAAGGATCCAGCTTCGACCATAATAGACATTATATATAAATTCTTATAGTGTAAAGATAATAAAACTTACCCTGATCATGTTCTATCCTTACATGTCGCACACAACTGTTGAGTCTAAATGACAAGGAAAAAATGTAATGATCGTCACTACTGTCTCGCACGATGAATGAGCCATCCGGTTCGTTAGATAATATCTTCTCCGCCGCTTCACCAGATATAGGTCCCCAATACCATCCATACTGTTTCAGAAAGTAGAAATACACAGAATACTCTCTGCAATTCTTCCTAGTACCAAGAGTCAGTGAAAAGAAAAATAAAATTTACATACATCCTTCACTTTCTCGATACTGGCTGCAAAATCCATACTTGTGTCCTCAGCAGTATCTTCTTCTGGTCGCACGATAGGGGGTGGAACTTGCGGCTGTACCGAGCTCGGAGACTCACATTTAGGTGCCATTGCTGTAAGGGCCTCTTCCGCTTGCTCTACCCCCACTTGACTATTACTCTTGGGCAGAGGTGGTAAAGCGCGCTTGAAGAATGGCAGCTTCTGCGCGGACGGCTCTACCTCAGATGGAGCGGTGTTATTATTGTTTGTATGCTGGTCGGAATCGACACCCTCTTCCTCTTCAACGATCTCTCCTTGTACGATGCTGTTCCGTTTCTCCACAAAATGATCCGGAGAGCCTAGTCGTCGAAATCGGAAGATGTTACAGAGCGTCTGCTTGAGATTTAACGAGAAATTACGTTGACTTTTCTTCATCTTCTCTCGCTCAGATTCGCTCTTCTCTTTATGTGATTCGTCGCGCGCTTTCTTGTGTCTGATGCCAACGAACGCGTTCCTCTTATGTTTCTTTACATTATTAGAGTTATTGTTGTTATGATTGTTATTATTGTTGTTGTGATGATGGATCATCAGGCCGTTACTAGTACTCTTATTAGACACCGGCGTGTCCGTGGACGAATCCGTATGCGCATTACTGTTATACCTATTATTAGACAGCATTAGATATTATTAGATTAATGACAGAGCCAATTTGACAGTAGCCAAGAACATTTTGATATCTAATTCAAGTTATTTATGTCAAAAGTAACAGGAACAAAACAGTATAGAATAAAAATTCATTATCGAAAAATTCGTTTTTTCGCTGATTGTTTTATCCATAAAAATTATCATACTTACCTATTATTATTATTTACACTGAGGGCCTTAGGCGTTGCGGCGAGATGTACTGGTGTATGGCCCAGCAAAGGAGCCTTGTCCCGTTTGATCTTATTCTCGCTAGAATCGCTAGAGCTCGAGTACAACGTCTGTAGATACTGTCGCACCTCGTGCAAGGTCATGTGGATCGGTTCACCAATGTTATGTGCATGTCCGTTCGATGGTCTGACACTGTGACGACCAGAAGTACCCGGCACGCTGTGTCGTTTACCGCCACTACTACCACTACCTCCGCCGGCACCGCTATTGCCACTGCCGCTAACAACACCACCACCACCACCAACACCACCGCCACCACCACCACCGCCGCCACCACCACCACCACCGCCGACAGCGGGATTGCCCTCATTACAGCACACATCAGCCAACAAACGCTGTGATTTGATAACATGCGTGATGGCACGGGATTTGCCACAATAATGACGCGCCTGTTGGATGTGTGCCTCCAGCTCGCTTTGCGAACTCGCAGAAACGTTCCGCCGTCTTTTGCGATGATGCCGGTGCCGTTTAGGCCGCTGTGGCGTTCGCAGATCATGCAACGGCCGCACCACATCAATCGGTACTGTGTAAATGTCTGAATCAAAGGGTACATTGTACATGTCGCTAATTTCACTTGTGGTCAACACATCGTGCGACATCGCGGATGTAATAAAGCTGCTGTCGTCAGCTTTGTGGCCAAGCCCAGTAGTGTTGATAGAGTTGTGTGAGCTGGACAATCGCGAGGAGGCCAGCGAGCAGCGTGAGTTTGGCCGGTTTAGCGTATTGTATGGGGTAATAGTGATGGTAGCAGCGCCCTGACATACTGGAGGTGTCATTAGATCCCACATGCGTTTAGGATTGATCTGTTGGGACCGGGTCACCACTGAAACCGGATTCGTAATAGGCGCGATTCTTCCTTCTGGCCAAGAGATGCGGCAAGAAATCGCTAGTGCTTCCTCTACCATCGATTGTATCAGGTTCTCAGCATAGTCGTCGATCCATCGTGGCGCTCTGCGTCTCATTAGTCGCGCGTAATTCAGAATCGGCACCGACGAAGATTCCGAGTCTGGCGGCGATGGACTATCCTGAAATTCTGGCGGTGGTTTGATCGCTACGTCGACCACCTCGACTTCCAACTTGCCGTCTGCATCGCCCCAGCCTGGGCCCTTTTTCAGGGTATTGAAATTCTCGCCACACATACCATCCGAATAATCAAAAGAATCTTGCGATAGGGACTTGCTCTCTATGTCACTCTCCTGCATCTAAAAGAGATTTTGTTTCAGAGATTAAGAGAGGTATATGATTGCATTTGAGGAACGTGCTGTCAGCGCTATAATATCAGTCCTTCTTCGTTTTATATCTAATGAATGATACAGGTAGAATGATATAACAAACAGCGCTGATAGTGCTCTCTTCCCCGATGTAGTCATTGTATGGAAAGATATCTTTAACTCGAGGAAATATAATCATCCTACCTCCATCGCAAGATGTGCTCTAACAGAATCACTAGATATCGAACCCCCCAGGCCACTGCTACCAAGATCACTGAGAGGCCCAGCGCTCAGCGAACATGATGGCGGGGAGTCCATCTCAAATTTCGTTTGCTTCACCTATGCACTGAAAAGTCTATAGTAGCCAGAATTTTTGATATTTCCATGACACCCCCTAAAATTTAACAGCATGACTGTTAGAATTGCAAATCACATATTTTTTTCTTAAATACTTTTAGATCAATGCTGTAGATATCTAACCTGAGAAAAAGTATTACAGGCAATATATGATTGCCTTACAAATTCTATATTCGTACGTTTGCTTGTACTCTGCGCATGGTCCATTATGAGAAACTGTAATGATAAATTCTAAAGTGATGCAGTTGACAATCCTAAAACAGAAACATGATAACACAATCTGTGTAAGTTCCATATAGAATAACATACAGGAATACGCACAGGAAGGATGAGTCATGATATCTTTAGTGTCATAACTACAGATATATGAGTCATGAAGATCAATTCTTCCATTCATTTTATGATCAAAGACACTTTAGATCTCAAGGCTAATCCATCCTAAAATTATTCACGAGTAGACGAATCTTCCGAAAAAGAAACAGGAGAAAAAGAATATAGATTGGAATTTTCTCTCAATGAATTACAAAAGATTTTCACAATAGTCACTCGATAGCTAACCAATTCCATCCATTCAGCAATTACGGCGAGTGTCGAATCTCATCGAGCGTTTAATACTAAATACGGCTCTTCTCGCGAATCTTATCGATGACAGTTCCGGGGAGAAGCAAAGTGCTCCAAATCGGCGGTAAATGCACAATGACAAATCGGCCGGAGGACAATTTGGAGCAGCGCCCGGCAAGGAGGAAAGATTGACGGAGCCGAGGTTGGTCCCGTACGTCGCACGTCTCGGGAAAACGTCGAGGACCGGGAACGTTCGTGCTCGGGAGTTGGAGCTGCTGGACGCGGGAGAGGCGAATGGACGAGCAACGCCGCGGCGGCTTACCCCTCGCGCTAAATCGGCCGCGGCGCACTCGCGATAATCGCGATCCAGGCCTCGTCGTCGTCGTCGTCGCGCGGGGGCACGCCGTTCATGATCGCCGCATGACGCGCGCTGTGCCCACGCCGGGACCCAATCGATATCTGTAAGACAACGCGGAGCAGCCTCCTGCCTCACGTTTCGCCTCGCACCATGTTCGGCTCGGTCCGGTTCGTCGCGTTCCGCGCCTAGCGTCACGCCTAGCCAATCGGCGCTGCCAACCTCGCCGCATGCGATTTTCATGTAGTACTACGAACTACTACGTCATCATTATCATGAATGCCTTCGCACGTGAAGTTGCGCCGATTGTATGTACGTATGTACGTCGACGCTGAACGTATGTTACGTGCTCATTATATTTCGAATTCACGTTCATGACTACGTGGGACAAATTTAAGCTCGTGCTTGTGTGTAGACAACGAGAGAGGATAAATCAAAATTTGGAAATTCCAACGCTCGCAGTTTTGGTTTATATATTTTTTTCACTTCACGTTATGTCGATATTTAAATTTGGAATTTAAACATTTAACTTAAAATATTTAAAATCGCGATTCTTAAAATTTTAGTTAGAATCTCTTATCTCTTATTTGATTATATATAATCTCTTGATATTTTGTCGATTTTTAAGAATTTGAATTTTTTGTTCGCGCGAGATATCGACAGTCGTTATACAGTGCGCGACTTTATCGATAAAGTTGTCCGCTGTTTACTGACCATCGTGATTTTTTAAAATCGCAAAAATTTAAATTTTCAAAAATCGGAAATCAAGAAGGTAATAGGAGAATATGATCAGATAAGAGGTGACATTAATTTAATTTAAAAAAAATTTTTATTATAATACTGTGCCACCAGTAATTAAAAATCAATTTTGAATGTTTCTGCTTTCACTTGCCCTCAAACTGGGGTGGAACTGAAAGATAATGTACAAATTCCGCGCCAATGGAATCAGCTGATCGCTCGGCGATGTCTGCAACGGTCAATTGCAGAGTGCAGCCAAGTATTGACGTAAATACCGGTGGCTAAGAAGATATTTTTATTTATAATTGTTAGTGATCTATTTTCGTTATCCGCTCTTCTGATAGCGCAAGCAATTCTTATCCAGTGATAATGAAGTGACAGTTTCAGAATCTTTCTTTGGCATATGTACGTTTTATGAAACATGATTGAGAAAGCTGAATTAAATGTGTTCTGATTGCATCACGATTATTGACTTGTTCATAAACGGATTAGGAAATAAGATAAAATTATGAATTGCTGATGAGCGGTATGTAAATTAAAAACTATTATAATGTCGTCTTTATTGTAACTTATACACATATGTATAATAACAATTAAAAGGCGAGAATAAACAAGAAAATGTCACTATTGCAACAATTTGCGGATTTGTTGAGCCTGATAACGATCGGCATGTGTTTCATATTGAAAATTCCACAGATATTAAAATTAGTTTCTGTGAAATCAGCTGATGAAATGTCGATGGTAGGATTACTTTTAGAATTAACAAGGTAACTCTACAAGATTATATTTTACCGGATTATTTAAAGAAATAATTGTGAAAGCTTTTGCGAAAGTTTTCATAATTACTTCTTTTACAAATAACTTATTGTTATTTATTTTTCAGTTACACTGTAATGACTAGTTATAACTATACGAATGGATATTCGTTACTGTCTTACTTGGAATATCCAATAATATTAGTCCAAGAATATATACTGATATTCCTTGTATTGAAATATTTGAGCAAGATCAATATGTGGTCTTTCTTATATGCCATGATATACTTTACGTTAAGCAGTTGTTTGTTGCTGGGAATTGTTCCAAAAGTTATACTTACACTTTTAGCGGTAGGTACAGTGCTGAGTATTGCAAATAATTCTTCTATTACTTTGAAACATTTTTTATATGATATACTTGAATTTTTAGCCAATGTGTACGCCGATCTCAGCTTCCAGTAAAATCGTCCAACTACTAGCCATACTTCGAGCTAAAAACGCAGAATCGGTATCGCCTCTCACTTGGTTTATATCCGCCTTTACTAACTTGAGTAAGTTTTCAATTTTGCATACATAAAATGGATGGAAACGATGGAATTAAATAATTATGTTTTAGCGAGAGTATTCACAATATGGATAGATTCTGCTGATATATTACTATTGGGAAACTTCATCATATCAGTCCTGCTGAGTTCTAGCATCATGTTCTCCGCCCTTTATTACAGAAGCCGTCCGTTGAAGCAGGATTAAATGAATAACAGGAAAATTATACATCTAGTTGCAAGCATATGCTATGAAATTGATGACTTGTGCTATATATTTGTTGAGAGCATAATCATAAAAGGTATATCATATTTTATTTCTGCCAATAAAATATAAAAATTATTTGTCCCACATTGATTTATTTTCCTCACGTTACATATCCTAAAAGCAAAAAGATTAAAAAGTATAATTGTATTTTATCTTAAATATGTTTCATGATTAAATGTAAAATATTAATATAAAAATTTATATATATATATTTAATTCGAATAAACGATGGAATCCATCAGACTGTCCTGAACTGTAAGATTATGCGGCTCAAGAAAACTATAAACAAGATTTTATTCTCGCGCGTATGAAGGATGCCATGTGGTTTCGACCCTTCTAAATCAGTGATCTTCAAAGTTCTATTCTATCCTATAATCATATTGTCTTTGTAAGAAAAAGTTATAACAAAGTCTTATTATCAACAAATTATTAATATATACTCAGGAAATTTTTAATTAGGATATGCATAAAGAATATGCGAAAATATCCATAATTCGCGATGTCTATACAGAAGATATACAGAAATATTTAAATCAAGATATGTAAAAATGCAATTATGCTAAAATTTAGAATTTATAATTTTTCCATATTTATTTTTTATCTTATTACAAACATATTTAATAGACTTGCGAAAAAAAATCTGACAACTTCAGCTGAAGATATGTACATAAAATCAGGGTGCTTGAACTTGGATCCACGCGGGATTTAAGCTGCGACTTGAAGATCACTGATCTGTTCCACCCCCACCGAGTTCTTCTCATCTGGCAAGTCGACGGCACTGTACAAACTGTGGTCCGGACAGTCGACACCAAGAAAGCGTCCAGGCATCATCGTCTCTCTCACGAGAGAGAAAGAGAGAGAGAGGAAGGGAGCGAGGCGAAGAGCGTGGAGGGAAGACGAAAGTGAAGAAAAAAAAAGAGTGGAATAGTTCCTCGAAAGAACTTGAGAAGGTGTCGGATTTTCTGCTGCTGGCAGGATGCAGTTACCGGCAATCTTCGCCGGTCTTCTGCTAATCATCCGGCTGTCCAGGAGCGAAATCCTGACGCCGCCGTATTTCAATTTAGCTGAGGGCAAAGAGATCGTAGCTTCGGCTACGTGCGGCGTCGATACCACCGGTCCCGAACTTTACTGCAAACTCGTCGGCGCGAACGCCGATCAGGATGAAGATATCAATTTGATTCAAGGCCAGGTAAATATTAGCGATAAATATATTGTAAAAGAAATGGATAATGCTTGATATGTTTGTAACACAATGTGTAATGTAATTTATCTATTAGATATAATTCTAATGTATCAAATTTTCTTTCAAAATTTAAATTAATCAAAATTAAATTAATAATTATGAAAATTTTTGTAATTTTTGACTGAAACTACAAAATATTAAAAACTTATACTAAATACTAAATAAATTTTTTGTTTTTAGATACTTTTATATATAGATTATATAGATATAGAAATAATTTATAGAATAGAATAGAAAAAAATTATATTTTTTCGCAACTCAAATTAATATTTTAATATACAACAATCTGTTGAATAAATATCACGTGAAATTGATTTAACGAATATTCTTGCATGCCAAGGAATTTTGTTTTCATCTTCAGTATTCGCCGAATTTTATCTATTATCATTAGGTCCTACGAGTCCAAGAGTTTATCAGTACTGAGGCATCAGCTCGATTACTCAACTACTTCCTTTTTTTGTCTTCTTTTATATCTTTATTCATATTAATAACTACTATTCGCATATATCGTCAAAATAAATGTAATATTTTATGTAAACATTTATAGTTATATATCATCTCGCACTTTTTCTGTCTCTTTATCTGAAAATTACGATAAGGTGTTATGATAAAGAATCGGGAGAGATGAATGAAACCATTGATTAGTTTTCATTAATCGGCGGCATATAAAGGAGTTTATTGAAGAAATTGATGAGATTTTTTTCACGTATCTTTTTTATTATATATAAAGCTTACTCACACATTGTGTTAATAAATTTATACATGTATATTTCACGCTATTATATTTTTAATATTTTAAGATAAAATTTAAAAATTTCTACAAAATTTCTAATTAATAATTTAATTCCGCTAAAATAATAATGAATAAATAATCAAATAAATAAAATAAAATGAATTTCTATGTATTTTTGTAATACGTTTGTAAATCTCCAGTGTGACTGTCCAGAGGCATTCTTGGCTATTCTGAAAATTAATATTCTCTGCTATATATTGAATATTTTGTCGACGAATCAGAACAAAAGACGATTACAAGGCTCTTCTATAAGATCCAGCTAAAAACCAGTTCGCACAATCTATGATTGTGTTTGAAGAATGCGCTAGACTCGCAAGATCGCGTTTCCTACATGATGCTTTATCGTCGACAGTAGAAATCACTCGCACACAGATGAATTTCGCACATATATATAATATATTTATTAAAAATATTAAAGTAATACCTTTAATATCCACGTTTATTTTTTTTGTGATATTAAAATATTGTAAAATTTGAAAATTTTATTCTAATTGTCGAAACTGTTTCTATAATTGTCTGTATATTTATATTTTAATTGAATTACACTGTTGATCAGCATCATTTGATTCATTGACTTAAGAACACGAGGCGTTCGTTCAGTTTGACATCGTTTTTCATCGTATATCTATGTGGGTAAAAGAAGATGGAACCGAAGTAAACTAGAAGCGAAGAGTTTGATAAAACGGAAGATATGAATGACCTCTCGATAACACTCGATCGTTCACCCATCCGAAATTAAGAAGCTTTCTGTGTCATATACAGATTCTAGAAAAAGAGATCTCCCTTTATATATTTATCTTTTAACTATCTAAATTTACTCTTGTATATTAAAATTCGCAATTAAAAATTGTTTCTTAAAATTTTAATGTAATACAGCAATTGAAGTAAACGTGTGACGAAAGTAAATAAAAATTATGTGGGTTGAGTTTCTTTTCATAAAAAATTCTTATTTTGTTCATCTCTTACATATAAAATAAATCTCCTAAATTAGATTCCATTAATTAATTAATTCTTTTATCTTTTTAATATAACGACAAATATTTGTTTTTTTATAGGTATGCGATTATTGTGATCCTGAAAATCCTGAAAAAAGTCACCCGCCCGAGTATGCGGTCGATGGTATGGAAACGTGGTGGCAATCACCACCTTTATCCAGGGGGATGAAATACAATGAGGTCAATCTAACGATCAATTTGGGACAGGTAAGTCATTAAGATATCAAATATACAGATTATTAACGAAAGTTTTCGGAGCATATAAAGGTCTGATTCAGAAGTAACAGGAAATAATGATGCGCAATTCTTTTATCGGCGACATAAACATTCTATCGCACAAGTAGGCGTTTTCCTGCAAGTGGGAAGATTTATCATTGGTTTACTTCCGGAGAATAATGAAAAGTGTTAAAGTCTCGAAGATGAACGAGGGAAAATGGAATTATCAATGATATTAATTATTTTTATTATCGAAAATTGCCGCGGTGCCATATTTTTCCAAAAAATTTTTGCGAATATCTTAGTTTTTATTAAATTAATATCTAATTAATCCGATGATACGTTTGTATTGAAACTATCTGGATATCGATCTATTCATATAATTCTATTAGTGTGTAACTAGCTGTTATCAGAAGTGTATGTTTATCTTTGCATACTCAAAGGCTCCCTGCTGTCGCTCCCTCGCTAATCATCTTCTTAGAAAGGCTCATTTACACCATTTGTTAGAACATTCCTACTTCCCTTTCTCTCTTTCTTTCTCTCTCTTTAATAATTGTAACTTTTTAAAATGTCTCATTTCTTTTTTCTCTCTTTAATCCTGATATGTTCTTTATTTTGCTGGAGATTTATTATAGTTTATTTCTTAGCTCTATCCTAAAAAAAGTCTTTATCTATCTCTCTTTCTATCTCGCTTTTTCTTTCTGCCAGCCTTTATGCTTGAGATTTCGGTAATCGTTCTCTTTTAAAGCATCGAACCCTGTATGGCACACATCTGGCATTCAGTCCTCGATTTTTAACCTTGGTTCACATTACTTTATCTGAAATAGCAGGAACGTATTCATACGAAATTAAGATCGAAAGCTATAAATTTTCATAGATAAAGCAATAATATGGATTCCTCCGTAAAATAATGTATATAATAATTACTGAGATAAAAAGATTTCTGGAACAGCAAAAAGAAAAATGGATAAAAATGTTTGCCAGAAACGAATAAAGCCCGAGGAAATAGAAGGGAAAATTTGAAACAGATTTTTTTCAGGAATTTCATGTAGCTTATGTTTACATACGAATGGGCAATTCACCTCGGCCAGGACTCTGGGTTCTAGAGAAGTCGAAAGATTATGGCAAGACTTGGTCGCCCTGGCAATACTTTTCGGATTCCGCCAGCGACTGTCTGACCTACTTTGGAGTGGACAGTCACAAACCGATTACTCGAGATGACAGCGTAATTTGCACAACTGAATATTCAAAAGTCGTCCCCCTTGAGGGTGGCGAGATTCCGATCTCGATCCTAAATAATCGACCCTCAGCGAAGCATTATTTCAATTCGACTTTGTTGCAAGAATGGACGCGGGCAACCAATGTTCGTTTCCGCTTTCTCAGGACGAAGAATTTGTTGGGGCATCTCATGTCTGTCGTTCGTCAAGATCCTACCGTTACCAGAAGAGTAAGTTACGTTGACACTTAAATTTGCTCTCATTTTCTCGATGGTATTTGATTCTATATAATAAATAATTAATCTCTATAATGCTTGTCATTGAAATACATTTTTGATTTACGGTACAAAGGAAATTCTAAAATTTGTTTATAATTGATATTTTCCACCACTTTCTTTTATAATTTGACATTTAAAGAAGTTTATTTGTATTACAGTACTTTTATTCGATCAAAGATATCAGCATTGGCGGTCGTTGTATGTGCAACGGTCACGCGGATACTTGCGACATTCAAGATCCCAACATGCCGAAGAAACTGGTCTGCCGGTGCCAGCACAATACTTGCGGGCCTCAGTGTGCAACATGTTGCAAGGGTTTCGAACAAAAAAAATGGAGACAATCT